GTACAGCATCCCTGCTAGGGGCACAGCATCCCGGCTGCACGGCTGCAGGGACAGGATCACGACTGCACGGCTGCAGGCACAGCATCCCGGCTGCATGGCTGCAGGCACAGCACCAAGGCTGTGGGCACAGCATCCCGGCTCCCTGCACAGCACCCAGGCTGCGGGCACAGCATCCCGGCTCCCTGCACAGCATCCCGGCTAGGAGCACAGCATCCCGGCTGCACAGCTGCAGGCACCACACCAAGGCTGTGGGCACAGCATCCCAGCTCCCTGCACAGCATCCCGAGTGCCTGCACAGCATCCCGGCTCCCTGCACAGCATCCCGGCTGCACGGCTGCAGGCACAGCACCCAGGCTGCAGGCACAGCATCCCAGCTCCCTGCACAGCATCCCAGCTCCCTGCACAGCACCCAGGCTGCAGGCACAGCATCCCAGCTCCCTGCACAGCATCCCGGGTGCCTGCACAGCATCCCGGGTGCCTGCACAGCACCCTGGATGGACGGCTGCAGGCACAGCACCCAGGCTATGGGCACAGCATCCCGGCTCCCTGCACAGCATCCCGAGTGCCTGCACAGCATCCCGGCTCCCTGCACAGCACCCAGGCTGCAGGCACAGCATCCCAGCTCCCTGCACAGCATCCCGGCTCCCTGCACAGCATCCCGGCTCCCTGCACAGCATCCCGGCTCCCTGCACAGCATCCCAGCTCCCTGCACAGCATCCCAGCTCCCTGCACAGCATCCCGGCTGCGGGCACAGCCTCCGGGACCCCCCGCCTGCCCAACCGCTCTCGGCACACCCCCAAACCCCCGCAGCTGCCACCCAGCCGGCCGAGCCGGGGTACCAGGGGTGATTCTTGGATAAACAGCACTCGATGAGTGCAGGGGGAGGTTTAACACGAGCCTGCCCCGCTGCCAGCATCACTCGTAGCTCTGCAGCCGGGCAGGGGAGAGGCAGCGAGGCGGTGTGATTTGTGTTGCAGCTCTGCCGCTGCTCCCCGTGCTTCCAAGCAGCGAGTAAAAATAGCACTCGGTCATTTTGTAAATAATAGCCACCTCCTCCGGGCCCGGGGAGTCACGGGCACTTAAACCGGGGAATTGCAGGGGAAAGGGGTGTCTGCCCGGCTGGGATGGGGGCGCAGGGGAAAGGGGAAGCCAGATTTACACCCTGTGCACAGCCAGGGCAGTGCCGGACCCGCCGGTGTGGGGGCTGAGCTGTCCCCCAGGGCTGGCAGGGCTGTGTGCTGTGCCCAAGCAGATCCAGGGTAGCAGATTCCTGCGGGAGAGGGGCAGCTCCCAAAAATCCCGCAGGTGTAGTGAGTGCCATGGTAACACTGTGGGAAGGGTTGTTTGCTTTGCTGTTTGCATCGCAGACCTGCCCAGCTCTGCGGGATTTCTCCAGCTGGGAGCAAGGCAGGAGCAGGCTCTGTACCCCAGGGGAAGGGGCAGCCCTGGCTGACCAACAGCACCTTGTTCTGCTCTCCAAATTGTTCCTAGGGACATGTTTGTGCTGAAGCTTGGGAATAAGCTGAGCCTATAAATGGGCAAGACCCCCAGACAAGGGAATCATCCTCAAACAAATGACTTGGGAACATGGCATGCCACTTGGATCTCTAAATTCAGTTCAAATACTGAACCTGAAATCTCTTGCTCTTCCTTTTTTTTTTTTTTTTTTTTTTTTCTTGCTTTCCTGGTGCAGCAGCTCAGCAGGGTGGCTGGAAGGGGCTTGGGCAGCCCATCAAGGGTCTGTTGGGCAGTGTTGTGCCAATCCTTAGGGCAGCCAGACCTGGGCTCTGGTCCTTGCTCTGCTCCAGCTTCCTATCTGAACCCAGCCCCTGCATTTTTGTTTCCCTGGTTATAAACAGGACTGGCAGCATCCACCTGCCACTCCAGCAGCCTTGAAGGCTCGACTCGTGCCTGTAAAAAAATTGAATTAGAGGGAAGGATGCTGCTAGGAAATGAAAAATGCCATTTTGTGTTCTGCAGCAGTTCTAGGGAAAGTGCCTACCCCCCTATACTGTCCTTAATTGTTAAATCTTTGGGAGAACTGCACAAGACAGCCAAGCTACAGCGTGAGCACATATATGGCTTGAGCAGAAAATTAGAATTTCCCTTCCATGTCTCTAAGCAGAGGCAGGAGATGTTTTTCTTTCAGCTTTCTCTTGCTGAAAAAGCAGATGCATTCAGGCTCTGGGTGGGTCAGTGTGAGGGTAAGGAGTGGGGAGGCTGCTGGGGCAGCTCCTGATTTCTCTGCAGGTGGAGGTCTCACAGTCACAGAGCTGGGAGCAGTGTAGGTGCTCTTGGGCTGGGGATCACAAGGGAAGTGAATCTCTGAGGCTGGAGTTTGCTCTGTTCTGCTGGTGTTTCACTTATCTCTGGATTTCCCAGCTCTGCTGAAATCCCTGCCTGCGTAGCAATGATTTAATTTCAGAAATCCCTCCGGATCCCAGCCAAATCCTGCCCTTAGGAGCACATATTAACAGCGAGGGTTCGGTCTGGCTTTTGCCATGAGAGGTGCAGGAAGCTCATTTTTCTCAGAGCTGAGGGACATCACTGAGCCAGTGGTGAAGCTCCAGCTTGTCCCTTTTCTGGGTGCTGCATGACCTTGCCAGGGGGTAAATCTGCAGTCTGGAAATGGGGGATTCTCTTCAGACATGGGTTGTAATTAGTTATTAATATTAATAAGTTATTAATAGATTATTGAAGTTTCCTAATGCCATTATCTTTTTTGGATTTACCAGTAGATTGAAAGGTCAGGAAGGGGTCTCTGGAGCTCTGTGTCAGCCAGGTTACAGCATGATGAGGACATAAAAGCTCATTTAAGGATTTCAGGATCATATCAAAAGGTGTCCAAAATGAATTCTGCCTTTTTGTCTCCTCCTGGCTTCCTGAATCCCTCCCGCTGTGCTTGGACCTGGCAGAGCACACTGGAAAGCCCAGACCCTCCTGTGACCCCGTCCCTGTGAGCAGGGCACAGCTCACCCTGCACCTCTCAGGGACTGGCCATGGGTGGCCACAGCTCCTGATCTGCAGAATGAATGCCAGGGAGGGGAGGAGAGGGGAGGGGAGTGGGGCAAGCACATTTCTCTCCCTCTCAGGATTTTCATAGAGGTGCACAGAGAGAAACAAAAGAGAAAACAATTTCTGCTCCTTGTTTTTCCTATGTGGAATGTGTTTGGAGAATTGTTTACCTGGAGTGAGTGCTTGGTTGGATTCTGGTGAGGATTGTTTGAGCCTGATGGCCAATCCAACCCACCTGGGGCTGGGCTCTGGAGAGGGTCACAAGTTGTGTTAGAGTCAGAGGAAGTAGTGTGTAGTTTTAGTATCCTCCTTTTATATAGTATATTAATGTATTTTAGCATAGTTATAATAAAGAAATAATTCAGCCTTCTGAATTGAGTCAGACATCGTCATTTCTTCCCATTGGGTTCGCCTGCATTTACCCTGGGGGAGGGAGAGTTTTGTGTTTTCTCCAAGACATAATGAGCTTTCTCTCGCCGCAGGGGGTAGCAGAAAGAGCCTCACACCACTAAATGTTCTCTGCCGTGTGCCTCATCCTTGTTTGGAGGGAGACTGAGAATTCCCAGAGAGTTTCAGCCTCACGGAAGGGGCTCACTTTGTTTAGATTTCTGGGTGTTTCACAAAGTGTACCACACACATATTTCTCTTTAACCTTCTTTTTATCGCATCGAGACGAGATCAAGGGTTACTTATATAGCACAATAATATCAGCCACGGGCTGCATCAAAAGCTTCTCAGCCATAATAACTAAAGACATGTATACGTATATTTTAGCCATTAAGGAGAAAACCCTGCCAGAATGCATTATCTTATTTGGGGATGTATAACTTTGAAGCACAAACCTAAGCTTCATAGTACTGCAAAATAACTCTCAGGGGACAGAAGGATTTCCATAACTAAATTAAACAATGGGCCATCCAGGCTACTTGCAAGGCTGCTGCAATGGCCAAGACTGGGTCCTGTGCATAAAACATGAACACTGCTTTGCAGCTTTAAATTGGTTGTTTCATTAGGAGAGCAGCTCTGAGCCAGCTAATGCCACACAACAGCGTGATCCATCCCTAAAGTGGGGAGGATTTATGGGAACTGAGTGCTGAAGTCAAGGCGGCTCATCCATCATGTTTGGAGCACAACCCAGTGGGCAGAGCACAGGACCGTAAATCTGGGAGATCACTGTGCCTTGATTTCCCTGCAAAGCAGGGTGGCAGCAGAGGGGTCAATTAGGAAACAAGCCAAAATCCAAGGAAGTCAGGCAGGAGAGCTCTGTGTGCACGTGCTGCTGGCTGTGTTCAGCGCTCCGGCTTGTCTGAAGGCTTGTGGTTAAAATTGCCCCTGGTTTTAGCAGCTGGGTAGGCAGTGGGGCCCTGTGGCTTTGCAGGGGCAGTGATGCTCACCCACATCACATGCTGGCCCTGCATCCCGGGCTGAGATTCCCTTACGGATGCTGAGCAGCAGCTTTGTGAGAGCGAGGCACTTAGGAGAACAGCAAGCACGATGGCAGTAAAAGGCAATCAGAATATTGATTCTTTGTACATACAGATAAGCCTGGGGCTGTAACAAACCCAGGGTTCCCTAAAACTGCTGGAACATTGCTAGGCTGTTTATCTGGCTGGGAGACACAAAGGGATTTCAGATTAAAAAGGAGTTGCAAAGCATCAGGGCTTACCTCTGGATTGAAAACATGTGGATCTGTAGCAGGGTGTGGATCATGCAGCCACACAGATTCTGTAAATACGCATTGTCTGGCCGTGTGGGACAGATTTGTCCTCAGTGTAAGCGTGGGAAGCAGCAGAGCTGCCCTGGAGATGGATGTGCCCAATTACGAGTGATAAAATCAGCCGTTGTTTGGGGCACAGAGCACAGTGCTGAGGGTTCAGCAGAGCAGGAATAAACACCATATAACAAACCTCAAACCCTTGCCTGCACAAGGAAATTCAGCTCTCTAATTGATCTTTTTTCCCATTTTTTTTCTCTTTTTGTCCCAGACAGTGTAACTGAAGTCAAGACAGACATTTACGTGACGAGTTTCGGCCCTGTCTCGGACACAGACATGGTAGGTGTCTCACGGGGAGGGGGGCTTCTCCTCAGCTGCTGTGGATGTGTCCCTCTCCATCCCAGGACAATATGGGTAAAAGTGGGAGTTTCCTAAGTGACAAGAGCTGGTGGTATCTCAGTTCCAGGGGTAGACAGGAGTTGTTTCCCAGGCGTGCTTGGGCTTTTGGAAAGCAGCTGATAACTGGAGGAATGAAAGTGCTCCTTGGGAAGAGGGGAGGATGCCAGAATCTGCTCTGGTTTGGTGGCAATAACAGAGAAAATGATTCACCATCAAACCATCCTTAGTGCCTGAACTGGAGGGAGGCAAAAGAGAAAACAGAAAAAAACATGAACTGACTGTGCTATTTTGACATGTTCAGGGAAAATTATTAATGAAAAGGCCTGAGGTCGGAATTTAGGCTTGTATTCCCACAACAGTTTGTCTTCTAATTAAAACAGGACTGTGGAGCATAATTAATAGTGAGGTTTCTCAACAGCAGCTCGTATTCCACACGCACCCAGAGAAGGGCAGGCTGTGGGTGGTTGCTCAAGAGTTCCAGGATGCCACATGAGGCCAGCTGTGCATTCAGGGCTGAGCCCCTCCTGCATGTCCAGCCCCTGAGGTGCCCTGTGCTGGCATAGCCCAGGTCAGTGGTGGGCAGTCCGTGCCATGGAGGGATGGCATGGGTGGATGAGGGATGCTCCATTCTGGGGCAGGGAGCAGGTTGTCACTGGCCAGGCCAGGCTGGAGCAGTGTCTTGGGGCTCTCACAGCCCCTCCAGAGCTGCAAGGGTTGAATTCACTGGGCTGGAATGAGTGGTCTTCCCACAGCAATCCTGTGCTGGCAAGCAGAGGAGCTGGGGGAGAATAAAATCTCAGTGTTTCATGGAGTCGCTCACTCCATCACTCTAACCCGTGTTGCTTTGGGAAGACCACTCATTCCAGGGTAAGAAGTTAAGTTGATGTCAGTGTAATCAAGATTATGAACCTCATCTGAGTTCTCCCTCTCTCTCTCCTGCTTTCCTACCACAGCAGAGACCCATAATATATTCAGCAATCGTAGCCCTTGGGGAGTATCTGATAATTACTTCCAAGGTGGAGCATATTTGATTAAGGGAGTGTGTATAATGAACTGTGAAGAAAAAAAATATGAGGTATTGAAAAGAGGAAGGTATTCTCTGCAATGTGATTTGACAAAATGAATTTAAAATTAGGAAGACAGTTAAGGAATAATAAATTATTTCCCCTCCGCGCGCTTTCGTTCCGTGTATTTTACAAATGCATAGCGAATGTGTTTTAGCTCTGCTGCCAAAAGTAAGGGAGAGGAGCCCCATCTCCTCGGGAAGGTGGGGAGAGCCTGCTCTGGGGCTCCCTTTCATCTCAGGAGCGGGGCACTCCCTCCTTCCCGCTGGCCTCTGCCCAGTGCCACGCTGCCCTGCCACAGCCGCTCCTGGGCGCACGCGGGGCCTGGAATCACGGATTGGGGGATGGAGGAGAGGCAGGAAAGCTGCCCTGGGGAGCGGGGAGAGAGCTGCTTGTTGCTGCTGAGGCAGGACGGGAATGAGAAGACTTTGATCAGAAGGCTGCTGAGAGTAAAATTCCAGTTTATTCAAAATCCACTGCTCTTTTATAGTGAGCTTTGTGAGGACCAACTCCATTGGTCCTGAAGTGAAAACCATCCACAGCATTGGTGCAGAGTGCTTGATGCACAGTGATAGAACTTAACTATAAACAATGTGAAAAACAAGAGAGATAAAGAATTATTTACATTCTTTTCCAACTCTTTCCCAGGCTTCTGCCTGGCTAGAAACGCTCCGTTTCTCTCTTTAACTAAATCTGAAACCCACAGCTGCTCACCAAGCGTGGAGGAGGAGGAAGAGGAGGAGGAGGAGGAGGAGGAGACCTTTCCACTGAGGCGCTCCAAGGGACTCCCGGTCTCTCTTTCGGTTTGGAGAGCAGAGCCTGATCACACCTGAGGCGCGCCCCAGTTTCAGGACTGAGCTCTTGCAGCTTTGCCTCAGTCCCAGGGAAATTATTCAAAGGGAGACAAAAATGGAAGGGTTTTTTTTTGTTTCATGGGTGGACTCTGAGGACAGAGTCAGTCTGCCGGAGCTCACCCTGGGTTGGGGGTGGCTCCATGTGGTAGAAAAATTTCTCCTCCAACCCGTGCTTTCAAAAAAAGGTTCAGAAGTCTTCTGTTGCTTGGTCTCAAGGCAGTTTATTGCAAGTTATCTAAAAGATTTTCTTCTGGGGCTGCTGTGGTTTGCTCACAGCTCAGGCAGAGGCGCACACACACCCTGACATCCTCTCTGACTCCCGACTGCTTCTTCTCTCCCCCTCTGCCCAGGGCTGTGCTGTCTTTTATATGGTACATTACGTGTTACATGGGTACAGTTTTTCCCCAATGCCTATTACCTATATTAAATGGTGCTTTTCTATCTTTTATATGGGACATTACGTGTTACATGGGTACAGTTTGTCCCCAATGCCCATTACCTATATTAAATGGTGCTTTTCTATCTTTTATATGGTACATTACGTGTTACATGTTACAGTTTTTCCCCAATACCTATTACCTATATTAAATGGTGCCTTTCTACTCTAAACCAATCTGTGAGTGCCAACATCACCAAGAACATGGAGATAAAAAAGAAGAAAGGGAGGACAGGGAAGGCCCAAATCCCTCCATCTTAAAACTTCTGACCCCCATGTACAAAACAGAAACCCCCCTGTACAACACTCAAAAATTCTTCCCTTTACTTTGTGACTACTTCTACTATAATATCTAAACTTTTGTGACTTCTTGTTCTTCCTGCAAGGTTGGTAAATCATTCCATGGCTCAAACCCAAAATCACAGCTGTTTCCAGCTGCCTGCCAGGGTCTCAAATGCTTCTGACCTGGACCCGGAACCTCCAAAAATGTCTGAGGGGCATTTTGAGTTCTGACATCAGTCTTAATGTTTTCAGTCACCTCTGTAGGCAGAGAAGATCAAAACACAGAACTAAGGGTGCTCCTTGGAAGGGGCGAGTTGGGAATAATGCTTTTATGGAAAGAAGCATAGAAAAGAGGGGAAGATTCTGAACATGATTTCTCTTTTCTTGAGGAATGATTCTTAAGCATTAAAGAAGATAAGCAGAGCCTTGGAAGTCATTAAAAATGTTTTGCTTCTTTGTCTGGCACTTTTTAAATAGAAACATGGAACAAGAGAGCTTTTCTTCTGATAAGGACTTTTCCCAAACCTCCCGGGACTGCGCACAGGCTCATTCTTCAGGAAATAATGAATTAGAGATCACTTCCATGAAGGGACAAAATACCTTGTACAGGACAGAGAATGCAGAATTTCTCTTTCCTTCCCCAGACGAGATCCAGAAGGTTCATATTTGAGCAGGGGTGTGTCCATGGCCAGGGAGCAGGGATGGATTTTTTTACAGAGATGCCTCCATTCAGCTGCCATCTGCTTCAAAACCTGTAGGAATTTCTCTGTCCTATAGGAAAACGACGCACAGCAGTTTTTAAGTGCTGCTGAGAAGTGCTGCAGGAAAGAAATAATTTACAATGATAAGTTTGGTTGGCCCTGCAGCCTCCAGGAATGCGTAAATAAGGATTACGAGTCTCCAGTAGCAGGGGGAGGAAGAACAGTTGGGACAGAGAGGTTTTCCACAGACCCCTCTGTCTCTAAAAGTGGTTTCTGTATCTGCATTCACTGAGTGAGGAGCTGGTTTGGCTGCAGGGCTTCAAAGAGGTGACTTCTAACTGCCCCAGCTGGAATTTGGCCTGGAAAATGGGTCTCTACCCTGGCAGAAAGAAGAAAAGAAAAAATAAAAAAAAAGAAAAGGGAAATAACAAAAAGAAGACAAAAGAAAGTCACAGGATCTTGTAATGCAAGTTTGGGAAGTCTTCGATTAAATTATTTTCTAAAGGTGGGCTGGGGAACAAAATAGCATTACAACAATGTCATGCAAGTTTCTTTCTTTTCTTTTCTTTCCTTTTTTTTTTTTTTTTTTTTTTTTTTAATGGGCAGTGATGTAATTACCATCATCCTGGCCAGATTCCATCTCCAGGATCTTTATTTTTTGCCTTCTAAAATACCTGTGTAGCTGCACATAATGGCCTTACTCCCCTGAAACTTCTGGATAGAGGTGGTGGTGCAGCAGGGCTACCCCAGCTCTGGCCACTGTAGGCTGTGCTGCAGCTTCTCTGCAGTGCTCAGAAACACTGCCACGCACATTTTGACATCATAGGTAAGTCATTACCCAAAATGTGCTGAATCCCATCTATCCTGCACTGCTGTTAACACACTGTGCTTGTTGCACCACACCTCGTGTCACCGGGGTGTGCCAAAACCCAGTTTGATCTGTAAGACACCACCTCTTGAGCTGAGTAAAACACAACTTATTTTCCTCTCGTCTCTCCCCAAAGGAATACACCATTGATGTCTTTTTCCGGCAGTCCTGGAGAGATGAAAGGCTGAAGTTTGATGGCCCCATGAAAATCCTTCCCCTGAACAACCTGCTGGCCAGTAAGATCTGGACTCCTGACACTTTCTTCCACAACGGGAAGAAATCTGTCGCCCACAACATGACCACCCCCAACAAGCTGCTGCGCCTGGTGGACAACGGCACCCTCCTGTACACCATGAGGTGAGGCTGGCTCTCCTTCCAGGGAATCCCAGCTCCTTCTGCACATCCAGGCACCTCAGGGTGCCTCACAGCAGGGTTTATGCAGGCTTCCACTAACTCTTGGTAGTAGACTTGAGTCCTACCCTGCTGCTTTCCATGCTCTCCTTGTTTCCTGCCTATGGACCATCACTGATCCTCAGCTTGGCACATTTTTACAGGTAGATTTTCCCTTATCATTCACACTGATTTTTTTGCTTTCATGTGCTGAGGTGATGTGTTGGGATCTATAGTTTGTGAGGTTGATGTGCCACCTGGACTAATTTTCTTCCTGACCAGTGATGGGATATGAATCAGGTATCCAGTGTTGGTATGGGAACATTAGGTTGGGAGAATTTGTTATTCTCCAGCAGCTTGAGAACAGATCTAAATTTGTTCAGCGTGTTAGAGCAGAACCATTTCACACATCTAATGAGACCAAGCTTTCTTGAGACAACAATGGGGTTGTTTTTTCCCACTTCATGGAATAAAAAAAAATCCAAATCTATGTGATCAATGTACATTAGGGAAAAAGCCCAACAAACAGCTAATTAAAAACTGTGATTTGGAGAAGCCAGGGTTGCAGGAGTCATAGGTTGTAAATGAAACAAGCTGCTGATAAATGCACAAGAAAGGTATTGAGCTGGTTTTGGCAAGGTGTAAATCTTTGTTTTAAAAATTATTTTCTCTGTCTCCAAGCCAATCCTTACTAATAACAGGCCTCATTGTGGGTTCTGTGTGCTGAGATGCTGCACTTTCACCTCTGTTTTTGAGGACCAGGCAGAATTTCATCTCTTCATAGTTAAACTGGCTGTGAATCTACACGGTGTCAGCAAGTTTTACAGCCCACATTGATAAACAATGCCTTGCTTTTGTGCAGCAGTTCTCAAATATGAGCTAATCCTGCCGGTGCCCTGGGGGTTCAGGTCTCCACACATCAGTGATCTCACATTAAGGCAGATGGGGTAAATGAAGGGAAAAGCCCAACTTGACTTAAGGGCTCTGTTCTGCTCCCAGCTCCCTGACCTGCAAGCAGACAACTCGCCCTCCCCGCACTTTGTATCATTGTCTGACTGTAAAGTATTACAGGAGCTGCTGGCATAAGGCAGCAAAAGAAAAAAAAAAAGACTCCATTTCAGAGCTTTTAAATCATTTCACTACTTCTTTATTCAGCAAACAGCCATTAGCTTCAGCAAGTTTTGTGTGACTAAAAAAGTATTGGATCTATTTTTCCATTCAGGGCTGGGCAGGTGCCAGGGTGGCAGCAGCATCATGAGACTCTTGGGAATGAGCTTCTGGAAGAAAAGAGAGTCTTGGGATTTTCTAAAATAAACTCAAAGCACCCTTCAGTTTAGCTGTCTGCTGAAGGACTGGGAATGAAGGACCTCCTGTTACAGGTGCTCCTGTCCCACTTAAATACACCCCTAAGGCTTTGTCAGAGGTGAGGAGCCCACTCAGAGGTGAGGGTTGGATATGAGACCTTTTGTCATGTTTTGAATTGCACAGAGCCAAGAGTTCTTGTGCACAGAGATCTTTTCTTTACCCAGTGTGTGAAGCCCAGGGGAGGCTCTGGAGTGGTTAGAGCTGCCCAGTTGACCACAGCGTGCTGGACAAAGCAGGACTCCTCTGGGATTGCAAGTAAACACATCCAGGAGGGAATGTCTGTCCCCAAGCATCTGATGATTCCCTTTCTTCCTCTTGGTGCTGCTTAGGACCACCAGGGTCTCTTTTGAGTGGGGTGTCAGAAAGGAAGATGCAAGGGCACAGACTGCAGGGCCAGGACCAAGCCTCAGGCTCAGCCACCAAAACCTACCTGGCTTTGCCATTCCAAGGCACTCCCACCTCAATTCCCCTGTCAAACGATGATGGTGGTATCACCTTCCCTTGTTAACTGCTTTGAAACCTCTCCCAGGGAAGGGCTGAGGGAGTCTCTTGTTTTCTGACCAAGTGATGCCTTTGCTGTCCTCCCCAGGCCCAGGGATGTGCATGTGTGCCCCCAAAGGAAGGGGCAGGACCTTGAAGCCAAATGCACACAGCTGACATCCAGCAAAGTGCAAATCCAAAGGGGTGCCCTGCTGACTGGGCAGAGAGTTTGGGCTTCCACCAGATTTCCAGTGGCCTGGCAGCACTGCCCAGGTGATCCTTTGCAGGCTCAGTCTAGACTGATACCTGGCCATGCAGTTTGATTGCTGAGAATATACCCTGCTCCTTTCCCTTGTACCAGGCAATATCCTTGAGGGATCAGCTCTGCTGATGTGCAATTAGAGGCACGTCTCTTGCTATTTATCCTGCTGGGAAAGCCAACTTCTCTTAGTCAAGGCTTACAGTTATAGATGAACTTGCTCTGGTGGAACAGCAAGTCTGACACATGCATCCAGCAAAATGACACCTGTGTGACAATATTTATAGCTCCTGGAGAGAGCCTCTTTATCACTGACCAGAGCTCCCAGGAGCTGCACAGCAGCTGTAGCCCAGCATCCACAGATCTCCTTCAGTCATGGCACATTCTCCTCGTGGATCAGTGCAGTGTCACAGTGCCCTGACCTGACAGGCCTCTGCACCTGGGCCACAAAAGAGCCTTTGTGACCACTGCACTGAGCTGCATTTCTCTACTCCCCAGGACTGCCAATCCCTCTGCACCTTCCCTGCTCCTCCAGCTGCCTCAAAGAGCACAGGGATGCAGTTTCATTATGTAGCCCTGTGTCTGCAGTCTCTTCTTGTGGAGCTCCTGCACGGTCCAAATAGTTCACACAAGCCCAGCTGTGGTCTCTAAACTCTGGTGTCAGACCTGAGTGCAACAGCAACCCGGGAATGGTGCTTGGATTTACGTAAGGAAGAGACAGAAGTAGCCAAGGCGGCCATCTCTGGGTGTGCCCTCTGGCTGAGATAGTGTGGGGCACACAGATAATGCTCTGGCTCTCCCCAGCCTGGAAGCATGGAAAAATAGTGAAAGTTTAATGCTGTGCTGATGGGATTCATTTAAAAAGCTCTTCTGCTCTTAACAGGGCCTGTCAGAATGGTGTGTTGAGGCTCCGTGGTTATTGTCAGAGTGGTTCCCAGACAATATGTGCTCAAGTTATGCACTTGGAGGATGTTTTCTTTACCTGTCAGGCTGACACATTCACTGCATGCCTAAAGGCTCTGCCTCAAGAGCCTGTGCTGCTGAAGACAACGTGCAGGAGGGTCTGGGAACCCTCAGGTGAGGCAGAGGCACAGCAGGAGGGAAAGCAGGGCCCAGGAGACGTGCAGCCCTACAGGGGCTGTGGAATCCCACAGCAGGTCCTCTACCTGGTGTGCCATTCCTGGGATTTGGGCTTCCCACGCTGCCTTTTGAAATCACAGAGCTTTGCAGTGTCTCTCCCTCAGCAAAGGCTTTTTGGGGTGTCTTTACTGGCTGGGGGATTTTTAGCCCCCAGGCAAGTAGTGATGGCTCCAGGCTCTGCAGCAGCCTCCCCACGATGGAGGTGCAGCCTCCCCACGATGGAGGTGCAGCCTCCCCACGATGGAGGTGCAGCCTCTCTGCAGGAGCAGCAGCTGGGACAGCCCAGCCCCAGCTCTCCTGGCTCTGTGGGCTGGCAGCTCTTTGTTCCCACACCAGGGCTGACCCCAGAAAACATCACAGACGGAGCCAAGCAGAGCAGAGCTTGGCTGCCTGATAAAAACACAAGCAGGCAGCAAGATGAGATTTGCTCCAACTTCTCCCTGCCAGAGCAGATCCAAAGACAAAAATGATCTATTTTCCAGGCTCGGCTTTGTGCAGACAGAGTTTTTAAGGAAACTGTCCCAGGAGGGAGAAATCTTCAGAGAACAACTTATCTCACTGCATTTCTGCCATCATGGGCTGAAATCTCCAGGGGCTGGGGGAGGATGGAAAGTGAAATCAGTGCTTCCAGATCCAGCACAAGGATCCTAGAAGCAATTTGGCTTTCAAGCTTAAACCCCTCAATTAAACCTAACCTAGATTCTCCCACAGCCCAGACCGTAAACACTGCTCGGCCTGACTGTGGTTATTAATGAACCTTCTGAAGAAGAAATCAGGACAAAACTCCAGCAGTATCCCTGGCATAAACAAAGCCAGCCCTGCCGTGCAGGGTGCTGTCATGTTTTTGTAGCACTCACACACCGAGGGATTATTACATTTGCGTCCCAGAAACTGGGCTGAGATCCTGGCTCATCCTGCAGCTGCACGCAGGTAACGACAGGGGCTCTAATGACACATCAAAGGCTTTGCTAAACTCCCGGTAACCATGAGAACGCAGCTGAAGAGGTTTGTTATCCCCCAGCCCTGGCAGAGGTATGTTTAGCCTGATTCACGCTTCTTGCCATTGTGTTGGTGCAGTTCAAAGGACTTTAAAAGAGGAAAAAAACACCGGTTCTGTCCTGGATGTTCCACTTTCGGTGCCATTGTGCCAGCAAAGTGAAGAGAAAACACGAGGAGTTTGGGCTTTGGCTTCAAGACAGTTCTGCATAAGTTATTGCAGGTGCCTGGGACTGGTGAGCCGAAGGCTACGACTGCTGGCTGAGGTGATTTCTGGCAGCTTGGCTATTTTTTAGGTGCTCTTCAGGCCTTCTTAGGACTTTTCAGGGCTCCTGGATGTGAATAGCCCATCAGAGCAATGAAGCAAAACGCAGTGGCTCTCTGGCCATCAGCTCCCTTGCACAGGATAAGGGGCAGAGATGAGAATTTCTGCAATAAACCCTTTCATCCAAGTGCTGCAGAGGCTGTGGTAATTGTCTGGGAAGGGAGAGACATTCCTGGTGGTTTGATGCTTTGACTTTTCTTGTGTTACCTGTGAACCTGCTGACCTGAAGCTGCTGAACCAGACTCATCTCGCTGGAACGATGCGACTTTTCCTTTTTTTTCATTCAATTCCAGGAAACTTAAAATCTCCTTCAGTTGTAAGCAGAGAAGTGGCAGATTAGGTTGCTCTTCCAGTGGTTTGTTGATGGATTTCTTGTTTTATTGCTTGCTGGCTCAGCTAATAAAACAGGCTTTTGATTTAAAATGCAACTGCTGCATTCCCACACATCGAGGGAGTCATCCAGATCCATATAAAATTGTCTCCTCCCTTGACAGCACTTGCTCTTGTTGGCCATGGCCTGGAGAGGGCAGGAGGGTTTGGCCAAGATCAGTCTCTGCTGCTGTCCTGGTCCCCTCTGAGGCTCTTCCTGGCTGCTTTAAATGGCACAAACCCACCAGACCCACAATCTGCAGTCCCTGGGGTCCTCCAGCCTTACTCAGAGTGGCTGATGATCACAGCCAACACTTGCAGACAGCACAGAGGAAGGGAAAGACTTTCCTGGGTTTTTTGGGGTGGGTTCAGGATGCATCAGGAGGAGAGTACTGGTCAGAGATGAAGTCCTTTGGAAAAGCCAACTTTGGGAACTCCCAGTTAAGAGCCTTTGGAAATAATAAAGCAATGAGTGATGCAGATGAAAAAAAACAGGAAGGTAAAAAGGAAAATTCTGGTGTAGGCTGCTGAGGGAGACGGGAAATGTCTCAACATTTCCCTGACACAAGTGACAGTGACAAAATGAGAAGCAAAAAGTCCATTGCAGTTGGAAAAGACACCGAAAGATTCAAAGTCTAAGATCTGTGAGAATATGCTTGACAAGCTTGCCAGCCAAGAGCTCCCCAAGTGGATTTTGAGCTGGCTGAAGAGAACATCACAAAAGAAACAGAACAGGAAGAGCAAGGCAGTGAAGTCCACACCAAGCTGCCAGGTTTTTATACCTGCTTCTTGAAATCCGTAGTTGAAAAGAGAGGCATCAGAGCAAATGAGCAATTTGTTCATGGTGGCCCAAAGCCAGGGACCTCATAAAATGGAAAAGCTGGACAGGATAGAACGCACATCCAACCAAAATGATTAATGCAACGTTCTCCCTTTATTCCAGAGAAGATGGCAGGTTTTATACACCTCTATATAGTTTACAGTTTACAAAGGCACTCTGATTGGCAAGCTAACATTGTTTATCTTTGTCTTAAGGTGGCCTAAACCTTACACTATAAACCTATACTGCTTCACACCCAGACAGCCCACTGCTCCCCATCACACCTTAATACAATTTCTAACTGCGCCACAAACTCTTAATTTCTAACTGCACCACAAACTCTTAATTTCTAACTGCGTCAGAGGCTTGAAGGCCGCACAAGGCCCAAATCTGAGGCCTTGACTGGAGTAGCTCAAATCTCATTCCAAACATAAATCATGGCCTCTCTCTCTCAGAAACGCTGCAACAGTGGCCTTTGAGTGTCCTGGAGAAAATAATTACAACACTGTGCTTGTAGCCTTGTGAAAATCACTGTCAGTCTTCAGTGAGCCTTGACTGAAGTCTAAAGGTCAGGTCTTCTTCTCTTTCATGTAAAACAGGTGCATTCAGTGCAGTGAGGAGGAACAGATCACCAAGTCAGAGAGAGTGATCTGTCTCCAGGACGTTGCTTTGGGCACGCCGTGGCTCTTGGCTTGGCTGAGGCAGCCAGGCTGGAGGCAGTTGCGGAGCAGGACAGCCAGCATCCCCTCCATGCCCTCTTTGCCAGCCTGGCACAGGACACGGGATGTCCATGGCCATGTCCAGGACTGGCACACTCACTGCAGGCCAGCCCTTGGTCTGTGGGGCACTGAATTGCCAGATGCCCCCAAAGACTTGAAGGACAGGCTTAATGCCCTGCTCTGAGTGCTGCAGGGCCTCCAGAGAGTTTGGGCAAGAAAGGTATTGAGCTGGTTTTGGCAAGGTGTAAATCTTTGTTTTAAAAATTATTTTCTCTGTCTCTGTCTCCAAGCCAATCCTAACTAATAACAGGCCTCACTGTGGGTTCTGTGTGCTGAGATGCTGCACTTTCACCTCTCTTTTTGAGGACCAGGCAGAATGTCATCTCTTCATAGTTAAACTGGCTGTGAATCTACACAGTGTCAGCAAGTTTTACAGCCCACATTGATAAACAATGCCTTGCTTTATCACGGCAGCTCTGCTCCTGTGCTGCTTGCTCCAGCTCCGCTGCTCTCCCTCTGTCGGAGCCCCGGCCTGCTTTAGGGGTTCCGTGTGGTGGAAAAACTTCTCCTCCCACCCGTGCTTCCAAAGAAAGGCTCAGCAGTCTCTGTTGTTCGGTCTCACGGCAGTTTATTGCAAGTTATCTAAAAGATTTTCTTCTGGGGCTGCTGTGGTTTGCTCACAGCTCAGGCAGAGGCACACACACACCCTGACATCCTCTCTGACTCCCGACTGCTTCTTCTCTCCCCCTCTGCCCAGGGCTGTGCTGTCTTTTATATGGTACATTACGTGTTACATGGGTACAGTTTTTCCCCAATGCCTATTACCTATATTAAATGGTGCTTTTCTATCTTTTATATGGTACATTACGTGTTACATGGGTACAGTTTTTCCCCAATGCCCATTACCTATATTAAATGGTGCTTTTCTACTCTAAACCAATCTGTGAGTGCCAACATCACCAAGAACATGGAGGGAAGGAAGAAGAAAGAGGAGGAACAAGACTGGCCTACATTCCTCCATCTTAAAACTTCTAACCCCCATGTACAAAGTAAAAACCCCCCTGTACAGGTGCTAAAACCCCCTTGTACAATACTAAAAAATTCTTCCCTCTACTTTGTAACTACTTCTACTATAATATCTAAACTTTTGTGACTTTTCGTTCTTCCTGCAAGGTTGGTAAATCATTCCATGGCTCAAACCCAAAATCACAGCTGTTTCCAGCTGCCTGCCAGGGTCTCAAATGCTTCTGACCTGGACCTGGAACCTCCAAAAATGTCTGAGGGACATTTTGAGTTCCAACATCCCTTGTGCATTGCCAGCTTCCCTGACCCCTCTGGGCGTTGTCTGAAATGCCAGGGCTCCTTCCCTCACCTGGCAGAGCAGAGCTCACAGCCTGATGAGCCTGTTTGTAATTTGTTGTGAACAATGAAGTGTACAAGGTATTATCATTAATATTAATACCACAACTATTAACAAGATTTTACCTAACTTGTAAAGTTGCCTTGACTAAGGAGCTAAGCCTTGCTCATTGAACAAGTTGTCTATGTTTGTTTGGTTTTAATTTTAGATATTAAGTCTTTAAGCTTTTGTATATTTTTGTGACTGGATTCAAAATGGTTAGACAAATTCATGTAACACATTTCCTTGAATTCTTTACAACTATGTTTATGTGCTAGTAAAAGAAAATTAATTGCTGCTTGATTTGGAGCGTGGTCTGTCGGACACTGCTGACATCAGTCAGCATGTCACTGAGTGTATTGGATGTGGTATTAGTTTGTTTGCTTAGCTAACATCTAATCTTATTTATTTGTTTCAATGTTGCTTCAGAAGCAATTTTAGGTAAAAAGAAGCTTGTTGAAATTTTTGGTGCTTTTTTTCTATGGATTGAAATTACTATTGTAATTTTTTTGGATATACATGAGTAGATCTTTTGTTCTTTTTTGTGTTTTCTGAAACTGTTTTAGTGTTTGGTGTTATCACAGTGAGTGTGTTACTGTTTCCTGACTCGCTTTCAGGGTATGATGGAATGCTTTGCTATGCTTTACCCCTACAAATGAATCAATAATGTTTTGGTAATTTCTGTGGGTACTGTCAACTGCTCAACACCAGCTGATGGGGAGGCTCCAGTGCAGCAGCTGGGCAGGGTTTGCTGTCCTGGGCCCTGTGTGTGGCTGTCCCCTCTCACAGCACCAGCTGCCACCTGCAGCCACTGTCACCGCAGCAGTGCCACCCCTGCCACCTCACAGCCATTCTGCTTTGTTTCCTCCACAGGGGTTTTTACAGCAATTTGTGGGTTTTGTCCACTGAATTTTATGATGTCAAATTTTTTTAAAAGCCCTCTTTTTTTTTTTTTTTTAATATAAGCATTTAAGGTTTGTCTGCCAAAAAGAAATAACCTTTATTTTTATTTTATTTCTGTTCTTAAAACAAATTTATTCTTTGCTTTCAGCAAACAAACCCCAAAGCCTTTATTTTTTCAGGGTTTATTTTGCATTTGACTAAGCCTCAGTATTTTCTGTGAAGAATAACTTAGCTGAACATTTTTCTAGCCAAAGGAAAATATCTCAATAGAAGCTTCTCAACCTGAGTTTTGCACAAGCCACCTTCAGTCTTTGCAGTTGCCCTTTGCATCCACATGTTGCTCCTGCCATGGTTTGTTTGCTGTTTTGCTGAGCCATCAGAAGTGAGTCTGGTTTATTTTTCCCTACAAATGGTTCCTTCAGAGGAGATTGCTTTAGACTCTCCTGGGAAGCTGTCTCTCCTGGCTCCCTCTCCCTGGCTGCACACTTTGCAGTACTCCAGGAAGGAACACGAGCTCCCTTTTTTAGAGCCCTTTATAATGGATATTTTTATGCCTGGCCCCATATTCTGCAGCACACTGCTTTTATGGCTGTGCCTCCCTCACCAAGCTGCTTCCTGACGAGCTATCCTACCGGGATTTGGGAGATTTGGGAAGCACAGGTTGTCCTGCACACCCCCAGACAGCCCCAGGATGTTCCAGTTCTTCACCTGCCCGCAGCATCCTCTGCAGTGCTGCCAGGGGAGGTGGGATGAGGTGTCCCCCATGGCCAGGGGGTGTTGTGCCCTGCTGGCTTCATGGATCTGAACTCTGAACCATCTGCCAGCCCTCAGCTCCTTTCCAATCCACCAGGCCTGTTCCTGGGAGCCCCTGAAGCCCTTCTCCTCTGCCTGCCAGCATGGTCCATCAGGTGTCCCCTGGCCCCAGGAGCTCTGCTCACTGCCCCTGAGCACACAGGGGTCCTGGGCTCTGGCAGGTTTTCCCACAGCTCTGAGTGGGTGAAGATGAATTCAGTCAGTAGGGTTGAGTTTACACCGTGGAAAAGGCTGCCAGATGTGTGTCCTTCTGTCCTCTCCACAGCTGGGGGCCTTCTGCCCTGGGGAGCACTTTGCCAGAGCTGCTGGCTGCAGCAGGCTGTGGCAGAGGGGCCAGCCTGGCCCTGAGCAGCCCCTGTGCTTTGTCCCGCAGGCTGACCATCCACGCCGAGTGCCCCATGCACCTGGAGGACTTCCCAATGGACGTGCACGCCTGCCCCCTGAAATTTGGGAGCTGTAAGTACCCCCAACAGCCTCTGCAAGGAGGTGGTACAGGGCTGAGGAGCAGTGCTTTGTGTGCCTGGTGTCGCACAGGACTTTAGTAAGGGTAATATTTATTTATTCTGATGATAATGTGGCCAAATCTTTTTTTCTGCTGTCTTATACATGCAATTCATCACTGAGCGAGTCTGTGCTCAACTCAGGCTGACAGGGTGGGTTAGACACCCATGGCTTTGCTGTAAATTATTTAGAAAGTAGCCAGGTTGCAATTGGTCTCTTCTCCCAGGTAACAAGTGGCAGGATGAGAGGAAATGACCTAAAGTTGTGTCAAGGGACATTTAGATTGGATACTAGGAAAAATTTCTTCACTCTAAGGGTGGTCAAGCATTGGAACAGCAGCTTGGGGAGGTGGTGGAGTCACCATGCTCAAAGTGTTCAAAAATGTATAGTTTGGGCACCTGGGGACATGGGCTTGGCCGTGCTGGGTCAGTGGTCAGACTTGGTAATCTGAGAGGTCTTTTCTAACATTACTGATTCTGCGATTATAAATCTGAGTTTTGCTTTTCCTTCATCACAAGGGGATGCTGGGAAGACAGATTTGGGACAGCAGTGCTGGCTGCTGCTGGGTGTCCCATCCTGCCAGTCTGTGGAGAGCCTCAATGCCTGGTTCCTCTGGCTCCACACTCCACTGGAGCTCACAAACCCTCGCCCCTCTTCAGTCTGTCAGGCAGGCAGCTGTCCAGTGAAAGCCTTGGAAGCTCTGGGAATCTCAGACCCAGCAGCCAAGGGTCCTGGTTTAGGGAAGATTTGCAGGCTGCTGCTGAGCTGAAAGCTGCTCCCAGACTCCCAGACTTGCAGCTGCTCAGCTGCTTGGGCTCCCCATATAGATCTCTTATCTCTCCAAAATGCAAGTTAAATTTCATTTGGTTTTGTTCCTAAAGTGAGTGGGAGCCAAACCCCAAGACCCTGGCTCACCACAATGTGAAAATAAACATCCTAGTCTGGCTCTGCTCTCTGGTGTCTTTCCCAGGTCCAATAAACTGAGCACCACTTTTAGTCCATATTTGTGTTGGATGAGAGTTTCCCACCTCCAGCTGAAGAATGAGCCCACAGCAGTAACCCCCAGAGAAACCCCAGCCTTCCCAAACTGACACTTCTTTAGCCATTTGGGAGCTAACTGAGGACAAAGTTGAAAAGTTTGATTGGCAGGAGAGGAAATCATATTTATCATGTGCATCTGCTCTTCTGCCTCATGACAAACTGTACCCATGAAAGTGGATTATTCAGAACTACTAAAATAAAGCTATTTCTTAGGCAGCACCTAATTAAATGTAGAACTCATTGCCACAAGACATCACTAAGGCCAGTAAAACAGCAAGCCTTAGAGAAGGATGAATTATTAATGTTACTTGACCTTGTGAGGAGGGATATCAAATCTCATACCTCAGGCCTAAACTCTGGGATTATTACAAGATTTGCAGGAAGGCAGATTACTGCACATCTAATTGCTTATAATGTTTCTTGGTGAGGAAAAGAGATTAATGTGTGTATTTCTGCTGGAACACCCTTTGGGCTTACTTTTTTTACTGATTTGACCTCTGAATGATGAGAGTTTTGAGACAAGGAGCTCAGAAAGCTGCCCTTGGTTAACATTAATGTGACTTTCTATAGCACTCACAGAGCATCAGAGCTCACCTCTCCTGTGTTGGAGTGGGATTAAACCAGTGTTTTCACCAAAAAGCCATTGACAGCTGGAAGCTGCTCATTGTCAAGAAGCCTAAAGCAGGTCAGATTTGCAATTAGGAGGACAATGTCAGTGCCAGACCCACGCTGCTCAAAGGATGCTGTGTTTGCCTCACAGACCATTTTCTGCTGATCCCCACAGGTGACTCAGCAGTGGCCTTCTGTCCCTGGGCCACCAGAGCAGCTCCCCGAGGGGCAAGGCAGAGACTTTTTAGGAGAATGAAGGGCATCAGGCATTCCAGAGAGCTTCAGCTGCCCACCTGCACCATCCCTCGGGCCAAGTGCATTGAAGGGATGGCTCTGCCTGTCCCCCTGCTCCCTGAAGATAAATAAATGTGCCCTGCAGAGAGCTGCTCCTGAGCCATCACAGGACTGTTGTACAGCAACTCTCTGAGCCCAGGGGAGCAGGAGATGCTGCTGAATTTACCAGCTCCTCCAATTGTCCATGAGCTGTCCCTGTCTGGATTGGATTTTGCATTGCAAACGAGGCACTGAGCTGAACAAAGCAGCTGCCTGGCATTTAACGTGTTCCAAGCATCCATGCCATGCCTGTGTGACATCAGATACCCTTCTGTCCCAGACAACCGGACAGACAGACAGCTGAATTTTCAGGAATGATGGCACTGAAACCGTGGGCAAGTTCCTTTTGTAGGCTGGGAGTGGCAGTGGCTGGACTGGCACTGCTGAGCAGGAGGTGCTGCCCATCAGGTGGCAGAGCAGTGGCAGAGCTGTACAAAGCTCTGAAGGAGGATGGAGGGCTCCAGAAGCATGTGGAGGGCTGGAAGGAGGGGTTGGAAAAGCAGAGGGTTGCACTGGGGTGGGAGGTGCCAGCCTGCATCAGAACTTAGGCAGCACTCTGGCCTGCTGAGAAACCTTGGTTGATCACCAAAACCTCTCCCAAGGCTTTGCACAGCCCCTGCTTAACATGGAACAGGTTTGCCCAAACCCACAGTGCAGCAATAACAGTGGTTGTTTTAGAAAGATCACAGAAATGTGGTTTTCTCAGGACACAATCTGCACAGAGCAGGAGCTGAGGCATTTCTCCAGTAGACCTGACACATTGCTTGACCTGACCCCAGCCAAAGAATTCCTTCAGGTCTTCACCAGGAGAAGGTGGGGGGTAAAAATGATCTGAAGGCTCTGTTGAGTGAATTCTGATCTTCCTTAAAAAGCTGGTGCAAACTTGGTATGGACCGAAATTTTGGGCATTATGGGGAGAAATAGCTCCTAGCAGTCTGGAGAGACTCACTTTTTGGATAACCATAGGACTGGAAAAGCCAAGAGCACTCTTGAGAGGGGGACTGGCAGTCAGGACAGAGCAGGGGCTTGGTCACAAACACAGGAAAAACGTTGCAGACAGGTAGAGATATTATAAAAAAAAGGCTTTATAAAATATGGTTTAGGCCCTTCTAGTTTAGCAAAGCTAGCAGTAGTTTGTAAGTTCCCATAAGACAAAATCATAAGAATAAAGGCAGTTAGCACAACAACCTACTCTAGTAAGAAAAAAAAATTTGCACCTGCATAACCAATAAATCTGTCCCACGAGAACAGTGAAGAAAATATGTAAACAATGCAAGAATAGAGAGATTTGATGGAAAGGTAAAATGCCAGTTATTAACCAATGAATTGAGTGGCAAGAAAACTACTAGCCAATTAGAGTTGTATATGAGGTCTGTAAAGAGGATATAAAAATGAGTTATGTGAATAAAGAAGGGGCTTTTCCTGCATGAAGAAACTGAGTCCTGGCTGCTTATTAATGCATCAGGAAAAAGCATTTAGGTGTGAGAGGACACTGCCTCCAATTTTGGGGTCTTGAGAGGGTTGACTCTGAGGGAGGGTAAAGACTTTTAACTTTAGAACCTAATATTTAGCCCCATTTGCTTTCAGCCTTTGCTGCCAGCTGCTGCCAGCAGGACTTTCCCTGTCCCTGGCAGGGCAGGGCTGTGCTGCCCTGCTGGCCTGGATGCCATCCTGTGCTGTCCCTGTTGGAGCCAGCCCTTGCAGAGTCAGCACGTCACAGGGACAGCCTGTCTCAGTGACAGAGCTCTGCCCCTCTGCAGCTCCCTTCCAAACACCCCAGCTCATTTGATTTAACAGTTGTTGATCTGCCTTGGTCTCTGGCCATGCTTGGCTGTGCTCAGCCATGTGGCTCTGAGAGATGCACAGCAAAGATTCATTTGGCTACAGGCTAATTTTGGTGTATTTTAGGTCAGGCAGAAGCACAGACCTCGTTCTTCTCCCTCCTCTGCAGATGCCTACACAAAGACAGAGGTGATCTACACCTGGACCCTGGGGAAGGATAAATCTGTGGAAGTAGCCAAGGGTGGATCTCGCCTGAACCAGTATGACCTGCTGGGCCATGTGGTTGGGACAGAGATGGTTCGATCCAGCACAGGTATTTGTGGGACCACCAGGGGCTGAGCTCCTCCTGGCATCAGATGGGCTTGGAATGCCACAGTTTGGAATAATTATAGAGGCAGCCCAGGATCCCAGCACTTCCTAAGCCAGGAGGATATGGCTGGTGACTCCTTCAGCAGCCACCAAGAGGCATAAACAGGTTGTTTTTTAGTGTTTTCCAAGAGTCTTACTGCCCACAGTCTTTAGGAGACATGATCTCAAGCATCTAAAAATGATCTGCTGTGTGGAAAATTTGCCCCACATTGTCCAGCTGGTTTGTGGTGCTGAGAGTTCATTTGTCTTGGATTCCCTTCCAACCCCTCAGGAAAGCGCTGCAGGCAGGGGAGGCGAAGGCAACTGATGTTCAGTGTGATTTTCACTGCATCTGCTTGCACAAATATTATCATAACTAATAGAAGATTATCCCAAACAAATGTTTCCTCTGATTAATGACCAATATTAATCATCTTTCTCTCCCATCTGCTGCTCCTCCTTTCCCCTCTGAATCCAGGTACTGATAGCTTCTGTTACCTCATGTGTGTCTCTCGTAATTCTTCTTTTTTTCTTTTTTTTTTTTTTTTTCCTCTGTATGCACCAGTAGTTCTCTCATTTGAGGATATTTCCTCTCTGGTGCACTTGATTTTAATAGTGTCTGTCTGTAACAACTCATTTCACCTCCCTTGGGGAAATGTGGGGAGCCCAGGGAACTAAATGTCATAATATCTGGCCCATCTCTCTACTTAAGTTGTAGTAAAATGTACAGATGAATAACCTGGAGTGGTGAGAAAGCTGCTAAAGGCTCCTGTGTGTAATGATTTAGCAGAGCCACACTCACAACATAAAGGCACAGAAATCCAACAAAATACCCAAAGCTTTGGGGGGAGGAATAGGATGTTAAGGGAAAACAGGGACAGCTTCCTCTTCAGCTCACAGGTGGGACCTTTAACAACAGGACTTGCCTGGATTTTTGAGATGGTTACAGTGAGAGAAGGTGGGATATTTTCAGGATTGTCAGAGAAAATAAAATCCTGCGTCCTGCAATCCCATTAAAGCACTGTGAGGGTGTCCCCAGGCTTAAGGGATCTTACCCACAGTGCGGCTTCCTGGGATGGGAGCAGGGTCAGGAGAGACCCCCAGGCCCCTGGGGAAAAACAGTGGAAGATTTTATTGCCCAGTTGTTGACAGTGGCTTGCCTTTGTCCCACACCCGTTTCGTAGCGAATGAAGGAAGACTCAGAGAAGAGTTTTGAAAGGACAGATGTGATGTGGGAGCCCCCTGGGCTGTGCTGGGGCACACAGCTGGCATGTGTGTGCCTGCTGCAGCCCTCCTTTCCCCGGGACCCTGCTGCAGGCGGGGTTGTGCAGGGTGGATGTGTGGCGTGGCCAGCTGGGCCAGCATCCCTCCCTGGCTGTCTCTGCAGGCGAATACGTCGTCATGACCACGCACTTCCACCTCAAGAGGAAGATCGGGTACTTTGTGATCCAGACCTACCTGCCCTGCATCATGACTGTCATCCTGTCCCAGGTCTCCTTCTGGCTCAACAGGGAGTCTGTCCCTGCCCGCACGGTTTTTGGTGAGTCTGGGGGCACAGGGCTTCCTCTCAGCATGGGCAGGAAGGGAGAGAGGAGGGGAAATCACTGAGCATCAGAGCAGCTCTGTGCCAGGCCCTGAGCAGCATTTCTGAGCTGGCCATTCCCCAGGATAGCTTTCAGTGTCTTCCCAGTGAGCCTGCTCCTCACAAATCACTGCAAAAATACTCCTGGCCATGTCTCTGCTACAAGCCAAGCCATAAATATTAACAGTAATCAAGGTATTGATCATCTCATTATATGCATTTGGCTGTGTCTGCTTATCTGTGCTGGCTTTGGAGCAGAGCAGAGCATAGGTACACAGGGAGGCATTTAAAGCCCTACCTTTGAAATTGCTAATGTGCCCCTGGTCACAGCTCCACATAACACGTTCCTGGGCTGAGGCAGCATAACTGCATGGTGAATATAGTGTTATTATTTCCTTCAGCTGCTTTCAGATCCTCTCACCTAAGCAAAGTGCCAGGCTGGCACTGCACATATATTAATAGCTTTTACAAGCATTTAATAACAGAATTGCTTTGTGATTTCCTGCCAAGACCTTTAGTTCAGGATCTACACAGGCTCCCAGAGCAGGTGTGATGCTGCAGGATTGTATATCCTGGAAGTAACGCTGCCCAGCAGATTCCTTTTAACAGAGGGGATATTGGACAAAAGTCCCCAAGCAGAGAGGGGATATGTGGTATCATATGTGATTCCCTCCTGTGTTATCCTGAGAATTGCAGTGAAATAAGTTTCCTCAAGCAGCAGCTCAGATCGAGCAGGCAAGAGCTGACTGAAAAATTAAAACCTACCTGTGTGACAAATGTCTTTGCTCCCAATTTGCCTTGCTTTCCTATTAAGAAAATAATGAGAACTCAAATTGTTTATTCCTTTTTTTTTCTGTCCCTCAGAAAGTATTGTCAACAATATTGAATTGAAACTCTTAAATTACCAGGAGTATGGCTTAAGGGAACTGAAAATTAGTCAATATTTTTATAATGTTTTTAATGCATTTTTAATTGAAAAGCACATTATTGGGGAAAATGGATGGTAATGGTTGCTTGCTTTAATGAAAAAAGCTGTAAAAGGCATTTTGCAACAGATCATGTGTTTAAGATAAATCAATGTGACATTTATTCTGTCAGCTTGGGCCACTGACAGCAGGACCCGGGATCCCAGGTGTCCATCCATGCAGGTCACAAGACAGTATTTCTAAAACCCTGAGAGCTGTGTTGGATGAGTGGCCAGTTTCTGATCCTCCCTGAGGCTCACAACCGTCTAGCTGTTCTTTTCAGTGTTATTTTATTATTTTTATTTTGTTGCAAAAGCAACTAGAGGCTTCTCCTTGCCATATTCTACATGAGCTGGGTGTAGCATCATGCACCTTGCCCTGCCAGCAGGTGAGGAATGCAGTGCAGGTGCCTCCCTGTGAGCTAGGACTCTTATGGAGAGCAGAGGTCTAGTCACTGGAGTTTGGGGAAGGTTAGTCTCATCCTAATGAAGGTGTTTGCTATTGATTGTGCTCAAAACTGAGCCAGAATAATTCCCTGAGCAACCTGAAGTTGGCCCTGATTTGAGCAGAGGCTGGACAAGCTATTGCCCAGAGCAGCTGTGGCTGCCCCATCCCTGGAAGTGTTCTAGGCCAGGCTGGAGGGAACTTTGAGCAAGCTGGGATAGTGAAAAGTGTCCCTGCTTGTGGCAGGGGGTGGAACCAGATGGTCTCTAAGGTCCTTTCCAGCCAGGCCATGCTGTGGTTCTATGAGCCTGACCTCAGAGCTGTTCTCTGAGCTGCACAAAGGACTCGTCCGGGCGACCTCCCTGAACTGCAGTGGGAATTGGCTCAGGGGGGGCTCCTGCTTTCCCAGGAGGGGAGTGGCAGCAGTTTTGAGAGCAGCAGTACGAGTGCACGATCTGCTGTGCCCCACAGGTGTCACCACGGTGCTCACCATGACCACCCTAAGCATCAGCGCCAGAAACTCCTTACCCAAAGTGGCGTACGCGACGGCCATGGACTGGTTCATAGCCGTCTGTTATGCCTTTGTGTTTTCTGCGCTGATCGAGTTCGCCACCGTCAACTACTTCACCAAGCGCAGCTGGGCCTGGGATGGCAAGAAGGTGCTGGAGGCCCAGGAGATGAAGGTCAGCCAAGGCTGGGGGAGGGGGTGGGAAGAAACGCTGCACGAGGGAGCTGTGCCCGGCACGGCAGTGGGCAGCGTGCAGCCCCGCAGCACTCGGGAGGCTGGATGCTACTCACTGCGTGCCCAGCCCGGGTCCTGCCTGCAGCGGTTCTGGGGGGTGGGAGGAATGGCCTGGGGCTGGTCAGTGTGCTTGGCTGCAGGGGAGCACCCAGGCATGGCTGCTGGCTCTCCTCTGCCCTCTGTACGGCCATTCACCAGGGCAACATCCATGCTTTGGGTTTGCGCCGCTTGTGGTCTTGTGTCTCCTTCCTTTTCTTTCCAACCCAAACCCAAACCCCAACCCCAACCCCAACCCAACCCTCCCAAACCAATGACCCAACCCAACCCAGCCCTCCCACCCCATTCCGTGTTGTTAGCATGCCAAAAACCCAAACGTGCCCCAGGACTCCCACTGAGCCGTGTCCCCTGGCCAGCTCTGACACTGCTGCCATTGCCCACAGCTGCCAGCAGCTGCTGCTCTGTGAGCTGGCCACAGAGGGTGGGTGGGAAGCCAGCAATCCCAAATGCCAACTGGCAGCAGATTAATGCCTGGCATCACCCACGTTCCCCCACCCCCAGCTCGGGATCAGCCTCTCTGGCAGCTTCATCCTGACAGGCTCTGCTACCCCTGCTCGTGCCCCCCTCCCTCTGAACTGATTTAATCTTGGCTGCGCAGAGAAATCGCTTACTGTAGCATGCTGCTCCTTGTTTATATTTATTGAATCAATTTGAAAATCAGCTTTGTCCTTGTTCTTGGTTCTGGAGCCTTTATATTTTTCTCCTTTGCATTTTAATGTGTTGTTGGAAATTGTTGTGGGGCTGTATGTTAAACACCTGACAGAACTGCAGCAACTTTTGAGAAGACAGCAGCCAGTCATCTCTCTGGTGTGGAGGTCAAAGAAGGTGAACAGAGCCATCACTGGGTGTTGGATGCCTCTCTCTTGTCTTTCTTGGACTCTGTCTATCTGTTTGCTTTTGCAGCTGTGGTCTGAGCAACAGACTCATGGCAGAAAGCGTCCAGAGGGGGTCAGGTGATGGCCTTCCACTTCCACCATGAACAGTGATGCTAACCTGGCCTCTAGAGATGAGAGAAGCCTTTTCCGAGTCATTGGCACGAGTGAAGAGTCAGGACAGGTCCTCAAAGCCGTGGTGTCCCTTTCAGGGATGGGCAAATCAGCACAAAGTCAGGATTCACACAGCCTTGGGCATTTATGTGAACTGGGTGGAAAAAGCAGTAAAGGCTCAAAAGCTGCAGTTTATCTTAAAAGCAGCGTGTTCCTCAATTTATTCACTGACCCAGCACCACAAGACTAACAGTGCTGAAACAATAGGGTAAGAGCACGCAGAATGTTCCTGCACATGATAAGCAAACAAGAAAACAAAGCAGGACCAGGAATGTTTCAGATGGGAGCTCTCCGTGGCTTTGCTGCAATTGGCATCAGCCTGGAGAATCAGGAAGGGCTCCGAATTTCAGGGTGCTTTTTCAAGCTATCTCTGATCTTTACTGAAGAAGCAAACTCACTCCCAGTCTCTGCAGCTCAAGAGAGCTCCCTGAAGAGTGATGGGCTTTCAGGGAGCTTAGGAATACGATGTGTCAACATATTTGCTTTTCATCTTTATTCCAATGAGTGTTTCCAAGCAGTGAATGTGCTACACAATGGAGGTGCCTCACTGGCTCAGTTTCAGCCTTTAATTAGCTCTTCTTGAAACAATTGACAAGCCAGGTGTTTGAAACCACAAAAGGAAGAAGAAGCAGAAGAACAACTGTTGGCATTTTAAAGTTTTTGTATCGAGAGTAAAACTGCCAGTGGGAAGCCCAGGCTGAGCCCTGGTCTGTGGGGATCCTTCACCCCAGCCAAAAGCAATGTTCTTTGTTGTTGTGATGGCAAGGATCCTCACTCCAGGTTTGATTGCATGAAAAAAAATCACTGTAGGCAGCGGCAGTGCTTCCCATCCCACTTGGACAAAATCATACCGTGGAAAAGCTGCTGGTTGCTGACACGCACCCCCATTCTCTTCCCCTCAGCCAAACCATTGGTTTAGATGGGAAAACCTGGGGTTTTTTTCAGGTAGAATCTAAAATTCTGGCCTGATCTTGGTGAATTGCTGGTTTCTGCATCATAAAATCGTGATGATGTTCTGGCTATAGCCACAGTTGATTCTAGCTGGGAGCTACTCTGCACATTCCCTGTAGTTCTCCAATGAAAAGCAGGCAGATATCACCATAGATGTCACTAAAAATTCCCTTCAGCCTGCACTTTGATAAGGTTTTACTAATGTTTCTTGGACCCAAAGATTTTTAAAGCCTTTCCAGCCTTCCATCAGTAATTGTTAATTGCTAATTGCAAAGTTTATTTTTGTTTTGTATGGTAAAGTGGCTGCAACCAGCCTAGAGGTGCAGATCAAATTGAAGAGAGGTATTTGGGTCCAAAGAGGAAAACTTGTTAGGAAAGGAAAGGTGATTTTTAAAAATAAAACATCATCAGGAGGAAGGTGTGAGATGGCAGAGAGGTGTGAGATGAGTGAGAGGCCAAAGAGATTGAAAGATGAGTGGGTTCAGTAGCCAGCAAAGCTCCCGACCTCCTTCATCCTCCAAACATCTTGTAAAAAGGATCCACTCCAGAACAGCAGGGCTGTGTGTGGGCAGAGAGATCCATCCACCATCCCAGCCACAAGCAAGGCGACCTCAAGGGAATTTCTCGAGTGGCTGTCACAGTGAGGATCCAAAGAGAGAACAAGCAACGGTGACTTTGCTGCTGGGAAACTACAAGGATGACATTTACCAGTGAGTTTACCACAAAAAGTGTTGTCTGTTCCTCAGGATTGAAGATGCTTTGGATTCTTGGAAGACACTTAAACCCACTTCTGCCTGCAATGCCATGTCTGTGCATAAAACCTATCTAGCTCTGTGTCTGTGCCTGAATGATGTTGCCCTGAAATTCTGGGTGTCCAGAAGCAGCAAAACCAGTATGAGCATCTGCAGTCAGATACAGAAAAACAGAACATGCTTTGGATAGGACAATAATCCTGGATCTCTATTTTTATCATAAGACAATAGTCCTTCAGTGCATGGTGAGGTTAGGTCCAGGCTTTTAATGTACTTTTTGCTAAGAAAAACATGCATGAGGTGCCTTTTCTAGGCTGGGTAAAGCCTGGCTTTTTGTGCAGCTCACTCTTCAGCAATTCTCAACTTTGCCCTTTGATGCAGCTGCCCTGGGAATAATTTTTCTTTTTCCTTTCTTTCTTTCCATTTGCGGCGCATTTGTTCCAATCCTAGAGGAACTAGGAACCAAGGAACCAACCTTGACAGGCCACCATTTTCAGCTAGGTTGAAGTTTTCAGGGCTCAGGATGCTCCAGACCCTTCTGGTTTTTGTCTGCCTCACTATGGTCAATATGTTTTTGCTGGGATTTTCCCTGCTGGTCATGCTCTGCAGCCCATGTGTCCTTTGTTCTTTTCACTTGCAATCTCCGTGATTTCCATGAGAATCCCAGAGGTCTTTTCCAGCCTAATGGATTCTGTGATAACACTGCCAGTGATTTATGTCCTCAGCACCTTCAGTACAGTCCATGAATCATTCTTCAGCAGCACTTCAGCCTCTTTTCTCTCATCACGCTGTGATGTGTTGGGCTGATCATTTAATCCATCCAACCATCCAAACTCATTGTCTGGTGATCCAGGGAGCATAAGGTCATCGGGGCAGTCCTATATAATCTGAATGATCAAGTCTCTTGATCAGGCTGCAGGAGGAATTTTGGCTTGGTGTGAGGAAGGAGCGATACCTTTGCTGCCAACAGCAACTGCAGCTGCTGGGCTTTGAGTTGTGGGATACAGGTATGTCAGAGGCTGGAGCTGCTTGGGGGTTGTTAAAATGACTTTTCTCTAGAATGACAAGTGGCAAATACTTGGATTTCCCAAGTTCTGCAGATGCTGGTGACTTTCAGGCTTGCCTGTCAGAGGCATAGTGCTTGCAATGTGAATTTTCTCCTGCCAAGGAGCAGGTGCAGAGAACTAAATCTCGAGCAATTCTAGACAGAAGCAGCAGTTCCCATAATTTAGGTGCTCTGTTGTTAGCTCCTCAGCAGAGAGGCTCGAAGACAAGAATACTTAGCAAAAAATACTATTATTTTCCAGTGTGTGTGTTGTTGAACAACTTGTCAGACTGCACTGTCGAGGGAACAGATTTATCTCTACACCAGATTCCACAGCTTTTCCCTCAGGAAACCAGCACAAGGACATCTTGTGCAGCAATTCAGTCTCCCCGTGCCTCAATGGGGCCGTAAGTGCAGGAACTGCTTTGCAAGATAGATGTTGATAATAGGGCAAGTTTTCAAAGCAAATGTGGGGGTTCCTCCTGTTTATCCACTCTTTCCTTCTGTTTCAGGAGGATGTGGAATTCCTCACAGCTGAAGGTGCAGGGTGAAGGCTGGGAGCTACTTTGCAGCTGACAGCAACAAGCACATTTTGCTTTGTTTTACTGTCAAAATCTTGCCTAAAAAACTTGTTTATAAAGCCCAGCAGACAGGCTGAACCATTTCTCTGACATCTCAGGGGCAGAACACAGGGAGGGCACAGGCGTGCCTTGGGGTAGGCAGCGTGGGTGTCCTGGGTGCTCCCAGCTCTGCTGGGCCTTTCCCAGCTGGGGAAGGGCCCTGGCTGAAGATTCCCAAGTCTCTGCTCTGCCTGAACATTCTGATCTGAGGTCCAGGGAAGCCCAAATTAATGCCTGGGGTCTCTGGATCACGCTATTGGGAGCAGCAGCTCACTGTCACCCCCCACAGCACCCACATTTGCCTGACTTGACTCCATTCCAGCTGTTTTCATATAGATCCACTTTCCAAACTCTGGGGCAGGAAAGCTGTCCAGGTTGAAAATGTCATGTCACTGGTATTCATCTTATTCCTCTAATGAATAACGTGGCTGATTAATACTAAGATAATCACAGTGCACTGCCAATCACGTTCTGCAAACAACAATCTGTTTTTCATTTCATTACTGATTTTTAATTATTTTATTGCCTCTTGTAGCTGTGTTAATAAGTAATCTTACTTATGCATATTTAAGTGTTTTAATAGGTGAAGGATTTTTAGCCCTTTACTTGCATTTTGTCAGTTCTTTAGCAGGAAAAGTTCACCTGCTGTGCAGAGGGAACGTGTTAACATGGCTCTAAGGACTGCAGAACCAGACTCAGTTAATTGTTAAAGACCATAAAATACTGGGAATATGGTCTAAACAGTGGTTTAGTCTGGTATGGAGCCTGAAGACATCTAGACCTCCTCCTAAAAAGTTAATTTCTGTAATTGCTGACATTATTACAAGGCTGCCTGGCTGTGGTGTTATTGGAGAGGGGTTTGAAGAATGCACAGAAGTCTGCTTTTAGTGCTTCTGAAAATCCTTGTGGAAAATTCATTTCCTAGGGTAACCAGGAATATCCATGGTGACTGTAGATGCATTTAAAATGGAAGTGCAACACTGAAAGCCAAAAGGCTGGGACAGTGTCTGCAGAGCAGAGGCTGGGCAGAGCAAAGGCTGGGCAGAGCAAAGGCTGGGCAGATCTGGCCCTTCCAGCTCCCAGTGCTGCCCAGTCCCCAGGGCAGTGTGAGGACGGGGCCAGGTCCTGCTGGCTGCCCTCTCTCCTCCTGAAGTGCTTCCCTCAGAGGAACGTGCATGACCATGCCCAGCAGCCCTGAGAAATGCCTGGATGAGCCTCATCTTGTGTTTCAGTTGCTTTTGAGCAGAAAACAGTCATCCAAAGGCACACCTTGTTCTGGGTTTAGAGACCAGAGTCCCACCACGAGGCACTGCTGTGTCTGGTGTTGGCTCTTGGCGTAGCAGGGGGCACCCGTGGGGCACCTGAGTGCAGATTTCATTCAGGGGCCACCTTGTAGCCTTGGGTTGCTTTATGCAACCCAGTGCAGCTGGTCTCAGGTGCTGGCAGCAGCAGGAAGATCCCCAGAGTAGGGGCAGCACCTGTCATGACCCTCTAGGTCCATCTGCCTGCCCACCCATCCTCATGAACACCTGAGCTGAGCTGTCTGTCCCCAGCATTCACCCTCATCCTTCAGTGCATCACATCTGACACACAGGAGCCTCTCGTGCCATTCTCTCTGCAATTTGTCCTCACTGCAGCACAAATCTTGTCCCCAGAGCCCTGTGGAGGGATTCCTCACCTCCCGTGATTTTCAGCATCCCTTGGGTAGGAAGGCAGGAGGAAACGCTTCCCTCTGCCCTGTAGGGCTGTGTTGAGCATTCCACAAATCCTGGTTGGTGCAAATGCCTTCCATCTGTTCTGTATCTGACCTGGGTGGATCATGAGGTGCTCTAAAGGGTTCCAGAAACAATTTGAACATCATTATGTTAAATCGTAAAGTGTTCCTGTGAGGAACTCAGGGCATTGAAATATGATGCAAAAATACTGCAATGCTGTTGCCCATACTCTTAATATGGCTTTTTGCCACCAAAAAATAAACTGAAGCTGTAATCCTGTGTGCTGTGTCCTTCTCTCACCTGACCCAGGAAGCAGCCAGCCAAGCAGAAAATCCAGTTCTTCCCCAAGGATGGGGTGTCATTCCTTTTTGCCATTCTTCTTTCACAAGGTGCATTCCTCCCTTCCTGGCCTCCTGCTCCTCACACCTTTCTCCACCTTCTCTCCCGGACGAGCAGGTAAACTCAGAGCCCAAAGCGTTCCCCGTGCCATTCTCTGCCACTTCAGCTCTGTTTGTTTGTTGTTTGTTCTCCCCTCCCACCTCCCCTAGAAAAAAGAGCCGGTGGCGCTGGCCAAGAAAACCAACAACACCTACAACATCGTGGGCACCACCTACGCCCTGAACATCTCCAAGGAGCCCGGCCTGCCCACCATCGCCAAGAGCGCTGCTGCCGCTGCCACCGCCACCAGCGTGCCCCCCAAGATGCCCCGCCTGGAGGAGAAGCTCCCCGAGAGCAAGAAGACCTACAACAGCGTCAGCAAGGTAGACAAGATGTCCCGCATCGTCTTCCCAGTCCTCTTTGCCATTTTCAACTTGGTTTACTGGGCCACCTATGTGAACCGGGAGTCAGCTATCAAGGGAATGATCCCCAAACAATAAAACAGGTCACACAAACCTTCCATCAGTGAGCATCATCCCAGCAGGAATTCTCCAGGGCTTTCTTCTTTTCTTGTTTTGGTTAATTGTTATTGTTCATTTGATATTATTATTATTATTATTATTATTATTATTATTATTATTATTATTATTATTATGTCACTCTTTTATAATGTAAACAGAACTGTGATTTTAATTTAATCCCATATATCCTTTGATTCAGTTTACTTTTATGACGAAAGCTAAAAAAAAAAATAATAAGGGATCATAACAAGTTGTGCCTCTAACATCTTAAATCTGCTGTCACCCATCTGACCAAGTCACCCTGTGCTGCCATCTCTCCTCTGCCACCTCCTGTGGTCCCCATGGTCTTCACGCCTCTGCCATCTCATGCTGTCCCCGTGGGCTGCTGCAGTGGGGCTCCTCTCCCCTGGAGGGGCTGCCCTGGCATGGGGGATGCTCTGACTCCTGGCTGCAGGGTGTGCCAGTCACTCAGCCAGGTTCTCTCCGGGGCCTGGCACTTCCTGCTGGCTCCTGCCCCTGGGCTGTGAGTGCAGCTGAGCAGGTCACCTGCGGGGACAGGGGAGCAGCCTGGCATGGGCCAGCCTGTGGGCCAGTGCCTGCTGGGGCAATCCTAGCACTGCTGAGGTCCCCAGAGCCATTGCTGGGGTGGCAGCATCTTGTAGGTATTGCAGGTCTTCTCTCTGTCATCACCAAACCCAGCTGGTTTTGTCTCTCCAGACCAGAAAGGTCCTGTCTGGCTGGCATCCAATTCTTGTTAGCAGGAAGTGTGGTTCCTACCAGAGAAGTCATTTTCCTCAGCATCAGTCAGGAAGTCAGGGCAGGAGTTTTAGGAAGCCTTGGAGGAGATGGCAGCTGTGAGCATCAGGACTGGAAAGCACAGAGCTCCTGTCCAGGTGGATGGCCTGTCACTTGCTCTTATGGCCCCATCCACTCATCCTTCTTAGCAGATCCCTCTGTCCCAGCCCCTTCCAGCTTCCCCTTCATGCTCCTCTGGCCCAGCAGCCCTCCTTGGTGTCTCAGTGCTCTCAGGGGGTTTAGGCAGGGAAGTTCCCTCCTCCTGGGTCAGCCACGCTGGTGGGGAGGAGCCCAGCCTGGGGAAGTCCAGCTCGTGGAAATCCCTGCTCCAGTGCAGGATGTTCCCTGTGGGACCTGTCACGGGGATGAGCCAGGGGGAGGACAGGTGGTCCCCAAGACTCTCCCTGCCCCTGGTGGCCTGGTGCATCCTCAGCACCACGGGAAAACAGCACAAGGAACTCTTTGGAAGAGCAGGGTGACACTGCTGTCCCACAGAGCCACGTCAGCCAGGTGCCATCCACAAAGCAACTGAGGTAAGGCGCAGTCTAACACTGCACACTCTGCCAAGGAAAGCCCTCCAGTGCCTTGGAGAGAGGCTTTATGTCCCTTCCTGACCACCACAGTGGACCCAAACCAGTGTTTGTCCCCTTCCCAGCAGCAGCACAAAGTGGTGACATCCAAGCTGTCTGTCCCTGGATCCGTGGGCACACTGTCCTCCTACAAGGAGGGACATCCCATGCCTAATGATTCCTTGGATAGCACAGTCCTGCTGCCACAGAGGGGTGCACCCCTCTTCCTTAGGCCTCCCTCTGACCCCCAGAGCTGCCCCCAGCACGTTTTGGGCTCATGCAGCCAAGCCAAGGCCCCAGGATGCCCAGGGTGGTGCCTTCAGCATTGCTTTGAGCCCCTGTGCCAGCCTCAGCTTCCCCTGCCCGTGCAGGAACAGGGCTGAGCACAAGGCACAGGATTTGCCCCACCTGGAATATCCATGGGGGCCTCAGGATGGAGCGAGGAAGGCCAGGGCACTTTGTCCTGCAGCATGGGTGGCACTGGTGCACGTCCTGCCTGTCCCTTACCAACCTCCCTGGCTCAGCAGCAGTGCAGTCAGTCCCCCTGCCCGCAGCTGAGATTTGGAGAGGAGTTTGGAGATGTTTAGCCCAGTCCCAGGGTGTTGAGCCCATAGGCACATCCACATGGCTGGCAGCATCAGGAAGGAGGAACCAGAACCACCCCCCCCACCACACACACACACACTGCTGCTGAGGAAACCAGCTCTGTCCACACCCTCTCTCACAGCACCTGCACCCCAAACCATGTCATTTCTACAGTGCCTTTCATCCCCCGGGGCTCCCTGGTGGGTGGGAACACCCAGGAGCTCTCCCACTCTGCCTGCAGCCCCAGAGTGGAGGAGAAGAGGAGAGGGTGCACCATCCCCAGCCCTTCTGCTGGCCAGGGAGGACATCTGGTTCTGCCTGCTGGGCCGCCTGCTGCTGCTGTAGCCACCCCACTGTGACACCCCAGCTGCCCCATCACTGCCTGGACGTGTCCCCAAGCCCCTCGGCCCCGAGGCACCCCCACACTCCCAGCAGTGAGTTCCCTTCCTGCCACCCTTCTGCTCCCTGGGCTCTGCAGTGGCAAGGGCTACTGCTGTCTGCTTTGGAAACATTTTCTTAAATAAGCTAGGTGAAGAGTATCTCATAAAGCATTCATGTCACTAAAATACTCAGGCCTAAGTGAATGGAATAGAAACCCTACACCAGGCAAAGCCAACCCAATAAAATGCTCACAAAGAGTATGTTGTGTTTACTAAGGGAATTACAGCAAGTTTAAATGCTGCATCCAATTACTTAGCTGACTTAGCTGGCCCTGCTGCAGAGGTGGTTTCCTCTGCTAGCCTGGGAATTCTCCAAAATCCTTTTTCCCTCAAGAACCATGTCACTGTCGGTCAGTGCCTGCTTTGTAGAGCTCTTCATAAAATTGTCACAGAATCATAGAATTAATTAGGTTGGAAAAGACCTTTGGGATCATCTAGTCCAAGCAATGACCTAACACCTCCTCATCAACTAAACCATGACACTGAGTGCCACATCAGGATTTTTTTAAATGTCCAGGGACTGTAGCTCCACCACCTCCCTGGGCAGATGATTCCAGCACCAAATCACTCTTTCAGTGAAGAATTTTTTTCCTGCATCTAACCTAAACTTCCACTGGTGCAGCTGAGGCTGTGTCCTCTGGTTCTGTCAGTGCTGCCTGGAGAAAGAGCCCAACCCCACCTGACCCAGCCACCTTTCAGGAGCTGTACAGTGACAAGGTCACCCCTGAGTCTCCTTTTCTCCAGGCTGAGCACCCCCAGCTCCCTCAGTGGTTCCTCACAGGGTTTGTGTTCCCAGCCCCTCTCCAGCCTCGTTGCCTCCTCTGGACACATTCAGGAATCCCAAATTGAGGGGCCAGAGCTGGGCACAGTGAGGTGTTGGGTTTTACCATCAGCTCCTCAGCAGCCCAAGCACCCTGGGGCTGCCCCTGCTGCCTGCCCAGGCCAGGGGGGCTCAGTGCTGTGGGGTGATGCCCAGGAGAGGGGCTGGAACAGCAGTGGGGCAGCTCCTGAGCCCCCTCCCTGCGGTGATCGATCCCGCTGAGCTGTGGGGTGAATTCCTGCCTGTCCCCCCTCTGTCCCTGCCCCGAGGCTGCCCGCTGCTCTGGCTGCCCGTGCCACCCATCTGCTGGCTCTTCCCAAACGGGGCCGGGTAAAGGCTGCCTCCTGTGCTGTGTGAGCACGCCTCCAAAGCCAAGTCTATTCCCAAGCAGAGCCTGGCATGGGCTCTGAGTCTCTGTGCCAGCTGGAAGCAGAAATACCGGCATCCTTTGGTTAAAGACAACAAACCAAACAGGATTTCTAGTTTGGCTTCCAAGCAGGAAAGCATTTCGGGAAGATAGTTATAAATAAGTGGTTTAACATCTCCTGCCAGCAGACATCACAGAGAAGATAATGTTCTTTTTTATAAAACTGTCAGTGACTCAAATTAGGACTTTTCCCTCCCAGTTAACACGAGGCTGTTGATGGGGGCTTCTTCTAAGTGTGTGCCAGGCCAGAGCTAATCCAGCATCAATTACTGGAGTTTTAGGCTTCCTGTGATAGCACATAAAGGTTACATTTTTATAGCTGATCTTTATAGAAATTCATCTGTATATGACCACTGATAGTCTAACCCACAGTTGTGCAGAGAGTGGGCACTGTGAACCTCAAGACTCCAACATTTCTTTTCTTCTGGCAAGCCCAAACTTCCCTGACTTGAAGAAACTCTCCCAGGCAGGAATTAGAAGCCTTTTAGGGTTCTAAAAATGCTGTTGGTCTGCAGTCTTGTTTTGCAGCTCACACCACGTGGAAAACACACGGTGCAGTCCCAGTCTGCAGCTTCATTCCTGCTGGAAATATCAGAGGGGCATTTTGGCACTGGCAGCTCGCCCCTTCCCTCCTCTGAAACTGCCCATGGGCAGCAGGGAGCTCAGCCTGGGGAGGCAGGGGCGGCTCCTCGGGGGTCCCTCAGCAGCAGGGACAGCAGCATGTGGACACTGAGAGCTGCACTTTGGTGCCAGCGTGGAGAACATCCCTGTGGGGTGACAGGAGAGGGCTGGGCAGAGCTGCTCCCTCAGTGCCACCAGGGTCTGGTGAAGTTACACTCACAGAACGTCTTGAAAGCTTCTCAAGCATCACCCAGCAGGGCTGTGACACTGGAGACAGAGCTTCCCTGCTCTCCTTTGTGCTCCCAGCTCAGCCTAAGCACAGCGCCCCGTCCTGAGCCCTGCCAGCTCAGTGCCACTGGCAGGGTCCTGCTTTGTTTGCTGCAGGACAGCCCTGTGTGAGCAGCAGGCTTGCTGCTCCCAGGCACAAGATTGTCACAGCCTGTCCCTGCTGGCCCATCCTAGGGACACCAGGTGCATCCATTTCTCATCCTTGATTTCTTCTGTCCGTCTTTGGATTCCTTTCAGCAGTCCCTGGGGAGGATCACATCACATCCCAGGAAGGAGTTTCTCCTGCTGCAGGGCACCTCTCCCAGGAGGAGCCTCTGCTCTGTTGAGAACCTCTCTGGGACCAGCCTGGGGCTGCTGCCTCTGCCAGGGGACCCAGCAGAGTCCTGCAGCACAGAGGGTGCCCTTCCCCCCTTGGGAAGGGTTTGGCAGGGATGTGTTAGTGCCCCCTTCCATGTTCTGGGTTCTGGGAGTGGTGGAGTGTCAGGCCAGGCCCTCTTCCCCAAATTTTATCCCTCCCTGGGGTCACACTTCAGCCCAGCCGATCAGACAGCTGTGTGGATTCTGCAGAGTGCAGAGAAACATCTCCACAATTCCTGTTGAGCTTGGGGAGGGCTCAACCAGGGCAAAGGACACATTGATGGAAACATAAATGCTCTATTAATATTAAAGTAGGATGAAAAAACACCCAAGCAACTCACTAATCCTCCCCATATCAAGCTAAACTACTTCTGAAGGTAGTTTTGGCAAGAGGCCACAGCACAGATGAGATTGATGGCTTCCAGGTATAAATATTTACTGTTTGACCTTGTTATTGTTCCATCAGCCAAAGGTTTTTACATATTTATTTATATATATATATATACATGCACGTGTGTGTATATTTATGCTCACAAACTCTTTACATCTAAATGTCAAACCTCTTTGTCTTTGAAAGATAGAATGGCCACTTTTAATTATTTTACTTCCCTCTCATTCTCTTTGCTGAATCTTCTAGAGTGAGGTGAACCCTCTCCACTGGGCTTTGGGAGGCACAGGGAATAAAGGGGGCAAGGGAGAAGAGCTTCCTCCCACTCCAGGGGCTCAGTGCAGGCTTGTTGCATGGAGCAAGGTCCCTGCTGGCAGTGCTGCCCAGTATCTTTCAGGAAAACTTGTTCCTCAGTGTTCCAGGTGCTCCAACACAGCCCCCGTCCTGCCCTGGACACGGGCATGTTCCTGAGATGGCTTTTTAAACAGCTGAGTGCTACAAAGCAACTGCTCCTCACCCCATTGCACAGCCAGGGAATGTGCAGGGTGAGGTCTGCACCCTCAGACTGCTTCAGGAGGGAGCACAAAACCTGCTGGGATCCACTGCAGCTGTCCCTGGCCACAGGAACACCTTGGCCTCTCCTGCCTAGCTCAGGGGAGTGCTGGCCTCTGCTCGCTGCTGGTCCAGGTGGGATGCAGGGATCCCTGACTGTGTGAGCAGTGTGGGAGGTGTCAGCAGGAGCTGCTGCTGCTCTCCTGATCTCAGCACGAGCAGGACCCCACACAGATGTTGGGTGAGCAGCGGTGAGCAGCCCCTCACAGAGGCACCCAGCACCAGCTCCCTCAGCATCACCCCTGCCCCTCCCCTGACTCAGAAGAAGCATTCAGTGAACCTGCAATTGCACTTGTAGCTCCTCTGCTCCCTCCTCTGCTGCTGGAGAGGGCCTGAGCCAAGACCTTGAGGGGTCCCAGCCAGGAGAATGAAGGATGTCACCAATTCTTGTCCTGCCTCCCACCACAGGAATCTGTGCTGCTTCACAGCCTTGCTCTGGGTTGGTCCCAGCACTGAGCCTGTCATCCTTCACCACGAGTGGGTGATGCTCGTGAAGCTCTAGGACAAAACAGGTTCTGGCTGTTCTGTCGTGTCCTGTTCTGTCCTGTTCCTCCCTGTCCCGTTCCCCAGCGGGGCAGATCTCTCCTGTACACAACTCTCACAGTCCCATCTGCCGAGAGAGGGAAGCCTGGTTTCATGTTTGCTGCACAAGCCAGGGCACTCCCACAGCCTTTGAAGGCTCCTGGCTCTTCTCTCCAGTGCTGCTCGAAGGCCCTGTCAGCTTGACAAGACCCTTGGCTCGTGTTGCACTGTGAGCTGCGCTCTGTCTCCCCTGAAAAGTCTGTCGGTGCCTGCCGCCTTTCTGCAAGGCACCCAGCAAATGGAACAGCAGCCACACGTCAAATGGTTTGATTTTTGCAACCACAGAAAGCAGGGGCAGAGCTGGGAAACCTGAGTCTCTGCCACGCTGCCTTTGCCAGGCTGCATTTGGAGTGGAAGGTTTCCTCCCTGCTGTCACGAGGGAGATTCTCAGCCCCCCCAGTCCAGTCAGGTGGCCTCGAGCATCCCTTCATCAACCAGATTGTCACTTCAACTGACCTGGGGATAGGATAGCTGCAGGCAAATGTCCTACCTGAAGGTGAGGGCACCAGCTGCTCCTTTAGGTACAGAGTGGCACTGGCACCATGCCAGGGCAGCCCATCCTGAAAGAGAGCACACCCAGCAAATCAGAGACCATGCCATTGCCATGCCTCGGGTCCAGTCTGTGTCCTCAGCTTTGTTTTCCATCTTGTGAGACTTTCTTTACTCCACTTTGAGAAAGGATCTAGCTGGCAGCAGTTTAATGCATGACAATCCTGTTATTACAGCTGTAAATAAATAACATCTAGGGGAAAAAAAGCATTTTTTAAATTTTTTGTTGACTTTATTTTCACTACTGAAGAGCTGATAGCCACTTTCTTAAGGGATTTCTCATGGAAACTGTGACCTTTATTCTCTCTATTTCTCTCTCTTTCTCTCTCTGTCTTTCTTTCTGAGATTTTTTTCTGTGTTTCAAATGCTTTTTGGTGCAATGTTCAATGCCTGTTTGTACTTTTGAATTGTATTTTTCAACCTTTGCTGGAAAAAAGGAAAAAAAAAAGGCCCATTCTAATTGGCAGGATTTTTAGTCCTGCCATTTTTTTCAGCTTTTAGCTTTTTCAGTAAGTTAAAGCAACAGAAAAATGCCTCAAAAAATTACAGTGAAGTTCTGAGGAGAGATTAGAAAACGTCAGAAACAAGAAGTACATGAGTAAGATCAGCAAGCTGAGTGGAGGAGGACTCTTGTGACACCTGCTAACCTCCTGATGTAGTACACAAGGTGGGACTAGACCTCTTCACTGAATCAAATCACTCTGCTGTTCCGCTCTACCCACTCTCTCGAACTCCGATCAAAACAAATAAAAATTCATCTTTTAAAAAAAACTTCTGGTTTTTGTCATCAGTTGTTTTCCCTAGGTCTGTTTCTCACAGCCAAATCCTCTGGGCTTTGGACCACTGCCCATTTGAGGAGTTTGTCCTGCTGACAAGCAAACGAGCCACCCACTAATAAAAATATTCTGGGGGAAAGTAAAAGCTTGAGAATATTTCCTGGTTCCCATTGTGTCACGTCTAAAACCCTTTCCCTTCCAACCACAGGGGAGTGGAGGGCACCACGTTTGTTGAGTCAGATTGGCTGGGGACCAGCTGGAAGGCAGGGTGGTGGTGATGGGAGGGGTGGGAGAGGAGTCAAGGTGCTTTGCCCTCCCAGTGGGTGACCCACGCTCACACACTGCTGTTCAGGGAGCTTTTGGGCATTTCTCTGTGTACAACATCAATCAAACTTTCTGCTTCTCCAGGGACAAGAAGAAGAGACTTGGCCAGGACCTGAACTGCCAGAGGACAGGGTTAAATGGGATACTGGGAGGAATTCTTTCCTGTGTGAGTGGTGAGGCCCTGGCACAGGGTGCCCAGAGCTGTGGCTGCCCCTGGATCCCAAGGCCAGGCTGGACAGGGCTTGGAGCAGCCTGGGACAGTGGAATTTGTCCCTGGCATGGCAGGGGTGGCACTGGGCAGGCTTTCAGGTCCCGTTCAACCCAAACTGACCATGGTTCAGATACCTTTCCTGCAGGAGTTTTGATCGTGGCTCCCCTGTGGACATTAGATTTACACATGCTGTATTTGATAGCACATGCCGTGTCCCCCAGCCAGTGTGACGTGTTCTGTGTGTGGGCTGCTGAAAGAGAAGTTCAGGGTGTGGGGCTTCATTTGGACACTCCACCGCATCTCTCTGGAGCCATGAGATGTTATACTTAGCAACTAATGGAATGAAGGACTTTTCTCCCCGTGCAGAAAGGTCTGAAATGAAGTAAATCTCTCCAAATGCAAAAGCAGAGGGCAAACCACCTGCAAGAAATGCTGAAGTTCATCTTATTGCATTAAGCTTGAAACTTTCAGTGTTTCTGTGGACCCTTTTCTGCATTTTTAGTCTAAATGTTGCTGGTTTACCCAATTCAATGAGGACTTCCCCCTTCCCCCAGCTACCACTGGGAAGTAGCAGGAGAAGAAAATCACTCCAGTGACAGCATCAGTTGTTTTCCATGCCTGGAGAGGGAAGGAACGCCCTTCCCCGGATTCCCTGAGCACCATCTGTATGCTGCACCAGGGACTTGCTGGCGGGACAATATCTCCAAACATATTGCAACCTTGGGCAAAAACAACAACCAAAAAAAGTTATGCATTTGAATTTGCTGCATTCAGCTGAATCCTCCCTCTTCCTCCGAGACTCGGATGACAGAGGAGGAAGAGGGAGAGCTGGGGCTCGCAGCTGCTGTGGCAGATGGAGTGTTATCATGGGTCTGAGCAGCACAGGCTGCATACTTATGTCTTCCAGAGGAAGGAGCAGGGCTTGTGGCCTCGGCAGGAGCAGCCCACCACTCTCTGAAACCATAAAAACTCCAACCTGAAGTTTTCTCCCCTTTCCCCACCACTCCACCAGCCCCCCCTGCCTGAGTCCTTCCCTAATCAAGACAGCACAGGGCTGGTCCCAGCCTGAAAAGATCTTCCTGACTCAGAAGACAAAAATAAACAGCGATGTGAAATGCTTCCTTGCATTATCACTTCTCTATTTGAACCTAGAACAAGGACCCTGAAGAGGAACAGAGTGTAATTGCAGTGTCCACAGAAAAGAAATAGTAATGAAAACAGACAGAGCCGGGAGAATTGGCAGAGAAGAGGCAGAGCTGAACAAGTATTTATTACCCCAGCACTTAGTGCTCAGGCTGACAGGTGTCTCAGGAATGCAATAGCTGGGGTTTATTATTAGGTGCTCATAACACAGAAGTGCTCGGGCTGAGGGGAGGGCAGAGCTGCTCACGTGTGGCTCCTGAGGTGCCAGGAGCTGGGGAGCAGAAAATTCCAATAAACTCCCCCAAGCAGGCCAGCGGGGATGGCTCTGCCCCACGGGGAAGGAAAGGATCCCCTCTGAGGCACAGTGCTTCCCTTCTGCCCTCAAAGCGGGGCTGTTTCAGAAACCTCTTCTGCAAACCAGCTCCTCGTGAGATGGGGCGAGGTCCCCAAAGCCAGCCCTCTCACTTTCATGATGCCTTAGGATTTTGGCTTTTATATTCTCATATATTTGTAATCCTGCAGTTCTTTAGTGCAGAACTCCAAACTCCATACACAGTGTGAGCTGCTGCTGTCCCATTTTGGGCAGACACAACAATTCCCCTCCAGGCCTGGCAATCAAGGACTCCTCACTGCCTCAGGGCCCAGAGATGGAAACAAAAGTGAGTTGGGGGAGCAAACTGGGGGTAAATTACTTCATTACCTGAAGGTGTAATTGGAAAATTAACCCCCAATATGCAAATGGACCAAACTTACAAAAGTATAAGTGAAAAGCATGAACACCCATGAGTCCATCTGGGTGTAGCTGTGTCTGCCTGAAATGTACCTGAAGGACCTCCAGTAAATATAACTGCTTTTTATTGCAGTTAACTAATTTTGTCTGGCCTCTGTTTTTAAGTAGCCCCATCATTCGAGGTGGTATGGTCAAAAATCCCAGCACCAGGGCAGGTTCCTCCCGCAGAAGGAGCTCTCTTCTCTGCTTCCTTCCCCCTCTAACACAGGTGGGTCCAGCACTGCACGACTCCCATCTGCAGGCTCTTCCCAGAGCCATTGATGCTGAACGACTTTTGCCTTTTTTCCTTTTGTACATTCTCTTTATTCCTTACACATATATTTGTAGCCTGTTATTCGTAACTGACAGGCTACCTTTATGCTACCCTGACAGGCAAAAAGACAAAACAAATTCCAAGGCTGCAAAACAGCTCTTTGAGATATATTTTTGTAAATTAAGTTTAGTTTTCATCTGAGAGGGGAGGATTTTGACAGGGGGAAATTACCTCACCTCTTATATCTCTAATTGGTGATTTTTGTCAAACATGCTAATTTGCTAAACTTATAAAACTGCAACTATTGCTAATTTGCTAAACTTATAAAACTGTATTCGCCCCATGGGAATATGTGAATATTGTGGCTATTTTCCATATCTGCCCTTGGAAGCTCCAATAAAGACCAGCATTTATATTACCTCCTATATTAATAAAACCTCAAAAGCACGTTGCTTTATTTCGAGGTGCATTCAGGCATCGCCGTGGCTGTGCTGGCTGCCCTGTGGGCAAACACCTCTTTATTCCTCAGCTCCTCCTGACCCAATGCACCCATCAGCAGGCAGGAAAGCAGCAGGAAAGCAGGGCTGGAGGCTCTGTGCACAGGGAAGGATTGTGTATTCCCGGGATCCGTTCTGCTCGGGGCATCCTCACCTGGCTGGGGTCGGAACAGCCCCCGTGGCTTTCCTGTGCCCCAGCACTGCCCCTTCCCACCCTGGGCTGGATGAGGTGAGAGCAGCAGCCAGGGCTGTGCTCAGCTCCTCTGGGAAATGGATTCCGTAGGGAATTCTCCAAGCCTGACAGAAGGCTCACACAGTGTGCATCCATATGCAAACCTCGAGATAAGAAATGCTGACTTAGAAATGCCATGGACTAGGACAGACATTGTTGGGAGAGAAATGGAGCTAGAAACAAGTTTCAAAGGATGGCATTGCAAATAAGAGTGGATACTCTGGAGAAATAGAACTATGGAAGGTGTATTGTATTAGGAAGATGTATTGTATGAGGAAGATGTATTGCATTGGGACCCACGAGAAGTAATTTTAGATGATTGGCTTTAAGGCATTTACAGCATGGTGTGGCAAAAGCTGATAGGCCAAGAAACACTTATAATGTATTGTAATTAGGAAATAGTAACTTCTGATTGTGATGGTGTGAATTATTAACATCTGTATTGTCTCACTCTTCACATGAGACTGAAAATAGAATAAAAGTTTTTAAAAGTCCTCTCAGCTGCCCCATCGTTGGGTCAGAAAGGGGCTAAATCCAACAGCTTCCTCGGCAGAGCCTCTGTGTCCTTCACAGGCAGGGAGATGTCCCCTTGTCCCCCCTGGCCACAGCAGGGTGTGCAGGGCACCTGATGAGCCTGCAGTGCAGGGTGGGTGTCCATGGGCAGGGCTTCAGGGGAAGCAGGAGCTGCTCCAGCCCTGCTCTGACCCCAGGGAAAAGGAGTGGGAAGTCCCTCAGGTCCCCTCCTTGGACAGCTTTCCGGCATTTCCAGCAAAGCTGGTGTTTCCCCCGTGTGCTGCCGTGGGCCCTGCTGCAGGGGAAGAGTCCAGGTGGGGTTCAGGCCTCCCTGCCCCTCACCCCAGGGCTACAGAGGGGTCCTGCAGCAGGGATTTGGCTGGCACAGCCACAGGACAGGGTGGGACAGGGCACTCAGCCAGCCTGGGAACAGCAGGGACCCTGAGCCAACAGGGCTGTGCCACCCCACCGCCACCACATCTGGCAGACAGAGAGAAAATCTCTGAAAAACAGCTCCTGGGGGATTTTCTTCCAAAGGGGAGAGGTGCAGGAGCTGGCTGAGCATTAGGTGCTTTATGAAATGCTTTGGGATGCCCCATAAATAGCAGTGAAGGCATGGAGCAGTGGTTTGGGAAGCTGGACTGCAGCAGCAGGGATAGTCCAAGGACGTCAGGGAGGACAGGCTGGTAGGAAAAAGCAGTATTTTACCCAGATAGCACAGCTGGGGAAAAGAAGCCAGGCTTTCCGGTCTATAAACTCTCCTTGGGATGTGGTGCTGTAAACTCCAGGCTTAGAGCTGAGAAATGGTCTGGGGAAAGTCTGGCCATGAGGCAATCAGAAGGCAAAGGCTCCCAGCTCCCAGCAGAGTGGCAACTTGCTTGAAAGGAGACAGGTGCTTCTTGGGATTTTGTGAAGAATAGGAGACAAAACAGTATTGCTGAGCTTATCCAGAAAAACAAAAAACAAAAACAAACAAAAATAAAAAACAAACAAAAAACAACACCCAAAAAAACCAACCCCCCCCCAAAAAAA